GACTACATTTGTTTTTAAAAGTTTTATGATTAAAAGTTGCTGTTATTATTTAAATTTTTTGTCTAAATTTATTAAAAAGTTCTAAAAATTTTTTATTTAAAAGTTCTAAGAATTTTTTTCCTAAAAGTAATTTTTAAAATTTTTTTTGCCTTGTGCTCTCCTATTTTAAATATTTAAAATCTTAATTTTTTTTCATCATTATTTTTCTTTTGTTTATTTTTCAAGATAGTTAATAACATTAAACATTTAAATAAGTAAATTTAATATTTACCTTGCCAGCATGAGAAAATGTCCGCTTCTTATCTGTATGATTCATTTCGATTAAATTTTTTAAAATATAAAAATTTAATGTTTGCAAAACTTAATTTTTGCAATATAAAGTAAAATCCCTGAAATATTTTAATTTCATCTTTTTAATTTTATTACTTATAAATTATTTATTACAATTCACATTCGAGGAAGAAAAAATTATCATCAATGAATTGTAAACATCAGATGTCCTCATATCGATTGAGAATCTAAAAATGCACTCGTGAAGGTGCCGTAAGAAAATTTGATGTAAACAAATTTCTTCTCTCCCCCGCAATTTCCAGTATCCTATCCCCAAACCTTTTCTATAGCAACAGCATTGAGCTCAGCCCACTTGCTGTCCTATCTTCGCTTTAGCCAATCAACGAACTCCCAGCTAATATCAAAACAAAAATAGAGCATATAATACGGGACAATTGCCGGCTGGTTTTCCTGACTGTTTATTTCCTAGTTTCTAAACGAGTAGGTTGTCGTTTGGTTAGTGAAGTAGCTAACATCAAAGGGGGAAAAACTACAAATTAGATATTTATGTTTGTTTAAAATCGTCTGCTGATAAATGAGTTTTTTATCTAAAATTTGTTTTATAATTATCGTCTGACTTTTTAGATATTAAGATTTTTAATTCAAAATATAAACCATGCCGTTCGCATATAGCTGGTTGAACGCTGGTCGAGCCGGCGGCCTTCAGCACAATGTGGGTCCTTCCCGATTCTTGCGTGATGTGGCTACACTGATTGATTTGGTGAATAAATAAAAAATTATTCGCTGTTTTCTTTTTCCCGTTTTATTTTTCCTATTCCCGTTTTATTTTTTTATTAACAATTTTAATTGCTTTATAATTTTTCCAGTCTTCCCCCCCTCTTTTTTGTCGAGTGCATGTTAAAATTTAATAAATGTCCTTTTATTTTCGCATTTCGTAACCTATTTTGTTGGGGCATGTTTCTCATTGAATTAATTTGACTACAAAAATAGTTATGCATCGTGCTATTTGCTTATTCTCATTGTTTTCAGAGAGCTTATAATTTGAATTGACCTTCCTATTTCTTTTCTTTCTTGTGATCATGTGATTTTATCTTGGAAATTTTTTTCCACGTTTCTGTAAACTTTGAACGTTTAAGTTAATTTAAAAAATATTAATAATTGTTATTTGTTTCAAATAAATTAATATTTTACCTTAATTTTAAATGTGATTTTATCATTAAGAAAGGTTAGATTTTTTTTTAAAAATTAGTAACAGGGCGGCCAATTACTACGCTCTTCGCAAAATATTTCATAGAGTGGTAGGCAATTAAACTCTAAAGCTTTCAAAATTTTCGATGTTGTGTACTAACTGTTCACTGAAAAAGAAAAGAAAAAAAAAAAAAGAGGGGGGAGAGCTAGGAGGAGCAACAATTTTTTCCATGATTTAAATAATTTAAACATGTTTAATGTTATCTTACTACTTTTCTGCTATTTTTTTTTTTCAAATGTAAAATTGCTAACGTAAAAATTATTACTAACGTAATAAACGTTATCTATTTTATCCGTTGCCATACGTTCTTTTTTTTACTCTCTTACTCTTGTTTATCGCGGATATAGGAGTGTCATTTTCGCCGGAACTAACGATTTCAGCAGTAAATGAATAAAAAAAAGATTATTTTTATTTTAGTCGTTTCACTTTTAAAATTTCCCGTTAGCCATACTTAGTTATTTTGAAAATAAATTTAGCATATATCGATTTCGAAATATGGCGGTAAATTTCAGTTTATATTTTTATTAAGTTTTGTTTGTTATGTGCACTAAATTGATTTATAGTGTAATACTTTATTTTGTTCTAAAACGTGCTTATGTTAGNTTTACTATTATCTTACTACTTTTCTGTTATTTTTTTTCAAGTGTAAAATTACTAACGTAAAAATTACTACTAACGTAAACGTTATCTATTTTATCCGTTGCCATACGTTCTTTTTTTGACTCTCTACTCTTGTTTATCGCGGATATAGGAGTGTCATTTTCGCCGGAACTAACGATTTCAGCAGTAAATGAATATAAAAAGATTATTTTTATTTGAGTCGTTTCACTTTTAAAATTTCCCGTGAGCCATACTTTGTTATTTTAAAAAATAAATTTAGCATATATCGATTTCGAAATATGACGGTAAATTTCAGTTTTTATTTTTTATTAAGTTTTGCTTGCTATGTACACTAAATTGATTTATAGTGTAATACTTTATTTTATACTGTTCTAAAACGGGCTTATGTTAGGAAAAATGACTTTTTTTAAATAGCGTATTAAAATAAAACGTGATGAAGAATTCATGTGTACACAAGAAAATTTTTAAATTTTTTTTATTTATTTAATTTAAATTTTTTTTCACCATTTTATTTCCTTGATGCTGTGATATAATAGAGCTTTGAAATAAAACATGTGGTGAAAAATTCTGAAATGAACAAGAAAAATACATATATTTTTTTCTTTTATTTAATTTGGAACTATTTATTTTTTTCATTATTTGTATTTTGAAACTTCCAATTTCTTTTTACTCTGTATTGGAATTTAAGATACTCATTTCTAAATAATTACTTTTTCAAGAATTCGAAAAGCAAAACAACGGTGATATCGCATCTTTACTCGTTTTCCCCTCCTCCTTCTGCTCCAGATATTACAATCGTCAGTTATACTTTTTTAAAAAAATAGAGGATGTAGCAAAAAAACCTTGCTCGGCCGCCACTGACCATTTGTCAGACTTGTAAAATTTAAATTAGCATGCGGGTCGCCGCAAAACTAGTCCATAATATGAAACATTTACGAATATTAACAGGTTTAGATCATTGTTACCTGCTCTTCGTTCTTTTAGAATATTACTTCCCCCCTTCTTATTTGAAATTATAAACCGGATTATCGTTTTCGTCGGTCGCAACTCTTTCGGAATGTGCGCGAGTTGGCAAATGACTAGACTAGAAATCAGGCCGTATTCCACGTGGAGAAACCATATGGTTGGCTTTCCGTCAGAGCAGTATTCGAACTCCCCTTTTTAGCAACTTCCCCGCGAGCTGTGAGATATATAACGCAATGTAATGTCCGAATAAAATATTTTTGTGAGTGCTTGCTTCTTAGGATGACTTGGAATTTTAAGCTGATGTCTTGACCCTGATTTAGTTTTCTACCAGACGATCGTGATGCCTTTCCTTTCCTTCGAATCTTCCTTTCCGTATGTATTTGACCGAATTTTCTAAGTATTTTTTTTTATCGTCTGCAGTTTTTCCTCTTAGAATTTTGCTGACTCTTAACAATTTTTTAGGTAAAAGCGATTCTTTCTAGACTTCTTTAGTAGTGGTAGGGCTGCTTTATTTATGTATTTAAAAACTTTTTCATTACTATTGTTACTAAGATTTGTAATTTTTAAAATTATTAATTTAAAATTCCCTAATTCCTAAACATATGTATTCTTTCAATGGTTGTTGCATATCTTATAAATTCCTAATTTGATGAATTTAACTGTATATATTGTGCAATTTAATAATACTTAAATCTTTATGAAGTAAAATATGTATATTTATGTTATGTGAGGAAAAAAAAGAATTAAGAGGGAAAATTTTTCATTTTTCTTTTGAATCATTTCAATTCTAAATGTATAATTTCTAATCAATTAATTAAAAATATTGTATTGATAATATGTATTTTTATAAAATTAATGTAATAAAATTAATCCTTAATTAAGGATTTTTTTAAAATTAATGTCATTAGTTTAAGATGATACATGCATAGCTTTGTTTTTTTTCTTTCTTTTTAAATTTGCTGTGATTAAAATTTTTTTTTGTTAAAGATTGTAAGCTTTCACCATTGAAGTCACCCAATTTATAGTTATGTAATTAATGACAGATTATTGTTATTTAATCTTAAATGAATTCATCTTAAAAAATCTATTTTGATTATGCAAATGAAGTTAAATTTATTACTTGCAATATAATTTTTATAACTTAAAACATAGATGCTTTGCTCTCAAATAATATTGATTTGTTTTGAATGGTAAATCCAAATTTTATTTGGTTAGAACCACAACTGTATCTACTTATATTAAAGAAAGTGTACTACCAAAATAAGATTTATAATTTAATCTCTACATATAAATCATTAGTTTATTGATCCAAAATTGTATTTAATTTTTATCTTTTTAGCAAACACTCTTTCAAAATATTTTTAAAAAATTGATTAGTTTTATGTCGTAAAAAGTTTTGATAATTAACTTTTGATAGAAATATACTATGTTTTTAGTTTATTTGGGTCATTGATTTAGGTAGCAACCTTTGCATAGTGTTTTTTTTAAAAAAAAATTTTTTTTACCCAAACTATTTTGTTTTTGAACGCAACTAGAATTGGTGAACAGTACCTGTGCTGACTTCCACAGCTGCCTGAGTACAATTTCAATTTTGCAACTGTCATAAATTGTGATTATTTATATAAAAATTAATGATGGAAATATTATATTATTCATGCACAGTAGATTTGTTGAAATGAAGGAGTGATTGTTCATAACGCCAGAAATACATCAATGTTTTTTTTTGAAAATTAATAAAAAAAAAAAAAATTGTGTTTTTTTTCTCATTAAGTATACCAATTTGTGTTGATTTAAAATAATCCATGCATTGAAATGGTTATAGAGAATATATAAGAGCACATAAAAAATTTGTAATATTAATTATTTTTTAAAGGTAACAAGCTTCACTAGTTCCGACAGTGAAAGTGCATTTTCGCACACCCAAGACAGTAACAATTCACAGGATGCTGAAGAACTCCCTGTTTCTACACATCCAAAAAGCATTGCTTCCAAAAAACCTAGGCCTGTTCTCCCAACAAAGGTAGAATTATTTTAATTTTTACTTTATCAATTATTATACAATATTTACTTTGTCAATATTTTTTAAGTATTGAAATGATTATAATTTTAAGTTTATGTATACCAATGTCCAGATGCAAATACAGTATTATGCATCTAGATTTAGAATGTCAACAATCAAATTTTAAAAATTTTAATGCTGAATTAATTTTTTTAAAGAAGTTTTAAATATTTTTTTTTTGGATTGAAAAATAATTTAATAATATTTAAATTTTTCTTTGAAAATATTAATGAGTGAGAAAATAATCTTTTCTTTTACATTTTTTAATTTTTAGCTATATGACCTAAATATATGCATGCATGCATGCATATATATATGTAGGAATTTGAAATAGTTATAAAAACGAATAATTTTTAAATTGCGCAACTTAATTCTAAAGTTCTCTTTTCAAGATTCATTATAAACTTTTTTTTTTTTCATTCTATTTAACATGGGTAACTGAGGCTAGTTGTCATAGGGGTCAGTAGTCACTAAAAGCATTTCCTTCCTTAAACAAGCTAGGGCAATTTAAAATTTTTATAACACATGTATATTTGCTCTTTTTGTTACAATTGTATAGTTATGAGTAAAACTTGTTTAGTTTGGATTGGAAAGTAATTGTTTTTCGACAAACTATTCAATGGTAACATATATGTTTTTAATTTTTTGTAAAAGTTTTTTGTTAAGTGAAGTTTTTATGAAATTATAGTGATTAAAAACTATAGTTTCAAAGAAGAAGCTACCCGAATTCTTAACTTGTTATTTTTTTTTAACAAATTGTTTAAAAAAAATTATCAAAAATGTGTGAATTCATTTTGTCCCATTAAGTAATGACTATTTTAGACTTCAACTAATATCTGTTAATATTTAATATTTTCTAAATTTTTGTTGAAATTTTTAATTTGGGACTTTAATTGGATACACAGCTGATACTTACAGAGCAGGAGTTGTATCATAAAGATATAAAGGATAACAAAATACTTGTGCATATATTTTTTTATTTCTGAACATCTATTAAAAAGATTAAAATGTAAGCAGTTATAATGAAACTAATTAAAATTTTCGATTACTTACAATTGCAATAGTTTTGTATTTTTTCATTGTATATTTTATATTCAGTTGTCAAGATCTAATGGTATTTCAGCCCACACAATTTTAATTTTTTCAACTGGAAAGTTTAATATTCAAGCCTCATCTTCTCATGTACATATCTGTAAAATTAAATGAATAAAACGAGCTTACATTAAAAATACTATTATAACTTAGAAAAAACAAATCATGCATAAATTTTTGAATAAATGTAGCAAAATCACACAAGTCAATACTATTCTTAATACAATTTAAAGTCCTGACGAGTTCATATATTTAATATTTTATAAAGTCCTAAAATAATATCACCACATTGAATAATATCACCAAAAAATTTTATTGCGATAGAAAGCTGAGAACTGAAGAACAAAGATTAATCATAAAATGGCATTCTTAAATGAAATATCAACAACTAAATAGTTTTCTAGGCAATGTCGAACTTCAAATTGCCTACTAGTAATGATTGCCAATCCTATCCAGGTATTCCGTTGTCATCTGGTTTAGGTTCAAAATTACAATAACAGGGACTTCATAATCAAAAAATTAAAATTACAAGGAATTAAAAAATGCAGGGAAAGTCATATTACAGTCATATCCGTTTCAATGCTATAAGTAAATATTATTAGTGAGACTTTAAAGTCCATTCCGTGCATGAAAAGTACTTTTTTTGTTTTACCTTTATCTCAATAATTTCATTTTGCTGTTATTAGTTAGAGTTTTTTTAAAAATATTTTTTGTATAATTCTGATTATTAATTTTATATTTAAATACCTGTTTAACATTATCTGTCTATTGCGTACATACCATATTGTACCCATGCAACAACTAATTATAGACTGGCTATAGTAGGTGCAATGCAAATTTAATAGTGCAGCACTTGAATAATGTTATAAATTAATAAAAATAATAATTTTGTGATAACTTAGCTTTCCCTACACTGTCAAATGTTTAATTTGTTGTTAAGTTTAAGCACATTTACAGTTTAAAATATATTTTATTAGTTTAATGAATGCATGTAGTATTAGTTATGCCACGTTACTAACATATAAAAAAAGTTTTTCTATCTATGGGTATTTATTTATTAATTTTTTTTTTTTGAATTTGTAATTTCTACCCAGATAATGAAAGTAGTGCATAAAAGAAAAAATTCCGGACAAACTTAATTACCTACTCCAAATATTTATTTATTAAAAAAAAATATTAATTATTTGACAATTTTTTTCATATTTCAGTCTGATAAATTACCAGCAGTGAAACATGTAAAATGTATTTCTATAAATTTCATTATTATCAAGAACTTTTAAATATCATGCATTAATCTTTATCTTTCACTTTCTTTCTTTCATGCATTAATGTTGATTTAATTATAAAATTACTTTATAGGAAAAGAAGAAGAAAAAGAAGGAATTCTCAAAGGTCCCGCATGTATGATATCCAACAGTTGATTCAATTCTTTACTTTAATACATTTCCTTACTTTAATACATTTTCTTCTACATGTCTTTTTTGATTAACGCATATATTTGGAAATGTATTTTATTTAAGTAATGTAACATTTGAGAATGTATTCAATGTTTATCTCAAATTTGTTACGCCTTCATGAGGAGTCACTTTTTAATGATTTTGGGCCATTATTTCCCACTATCGAAAGTGACCCCTTCAGAGCATTTTGATCTTCAAAAGAAGATTTATTTTGTTTTATACAAGACCTCCAATTAAGTTAGAAAATCAGGTGTTAATTTTAAAGCTGGCTCATAAAAACTTCTCATCTTTGTTGGGAAGCCTAGACAGGGCCAGTGCCGTTTCTCTAAACTAGGTATCTTTAGCCGTGGCGTGTCAGCAAAAATCTGTCGCCTTGTTAATCGGTTCCATGCTTGAAGATTTGAGAAAGTGATCACTGTGAAAACTAAAGGTTATTGGGATTAACTTTGGTTGATTTGAGAAGAGTTTCTTTGCATCTTCTGATTAATATTGACGGATTTAAAACTCAGAGAAAATGAAAAATCTGTAAAAACCTGGATAATTTGAAAATTAAGGAATTTTTTAAAAAAATTTTCAAAGAAATTTTTAGTGAAAAAATTGTAATTTTTCTTCCTGAAACCCCATCTTACAGTTATTTGTCCTTCTCATAATCATTTCACATTCCTTTGTTAATTTAGCAAAACAAATTATTCTCTGCAGTTGACAGGGGAATTTCACCTGAGAAGAAACCTTTTATTGCAATAAAATTTAACTGTAATGTACCAATAATTTTTTTAAGAGACAATTCTATTTTAATGTAGATCTTCATTTTTTAAAATTAACTTTCAAAACAAAAAATAAAAAAAGGAAAATGATTTTTTTTTATCCCTTTAAACACGCTATTCTGAAACTGCTTCTTTCCTTATAGAAAAGCAAATAAACATAAACTCAAATCTAAAATGCAGTTGCCAAAATTTTTAGTGTTTCAAATTCTAATTGAATCAAAATAGTTCTAATTTAATCAAATTAATTAATTCAATTTTAATAGTAAATTCATGCATAATTTTATTAATCTTATATACTTACATAAATTAAGTAGCTTATACATTTAAAATTGTGCTAATTTAAATTACATAAACGCTAATAGTATATATTTCTGTGCTATTAGATAGTGCTGATAGCTAGTTTGGAAAGTTGGCACATCTGACAATATTTGAGTATGGCATAAAAAAGCATAATAAATTTTTTTTTAAGGACCCTCCAAAGCCACCACCTGTCAAACCTGCTTCTCCAGCTCCTGCATCTAAATCTGCTTCTAGTCAGCCAATTCCAGAAGTTTTTGGAGGCCAGATAAAATCCAAAAATTCACCCGATACAAAATCAAAGGTAATTAATTTATGTATGATGAACTTGAAAATTAATATATTTAGCAATAAGTGTGAAAAATTTTAATTAAAAAAATTTGTGCTTATATTTATACAGGGTTATTCATAATTCCCTCTGGGGTTTCGAAGCGTTATAGTAAAAAAACGAAGACGAATATAGCAAAAAAGAACATATGAAACATTTCTCTCAGTTTTGTCTACTCCACTTAAGCTCAATTGTTATAAGTCTTTTTTGTTTCTTATATTGTTTTTTTTTATTTAAATTTTTAATTATCACTTCATGAATGGTGGGCTTTTTTTGTTGTTTCTAATGCCACTTGCCAAATACCAGCTAGCCTACTTATTGAAACCAAGCAAATTTAAGCCAGAGAGTGCATTTCTTGTGCCATCTATGGCAAAGAATACAACTTGAGTCACGCACACATCTCAACCTGTTTTAAAGGACGGACCCATTCATACCTCCATTCATTCATTCATCCACAGATTGTAATTTAAACCTGAACCAGGGGACAATCAATCTCCAATTCAGTATCTCCAAAGGTATTGATTTATTATAGGAATTTGGAGGACTCTGTGACCTGACAGATGTAACTTTCACCACTCACCATTTACTATATGGGGCGTCTTCCGCTGGCAAAGATTGAACTTTGCGACCTCTTGGACATGGGTTCAACTCCCTATCATCCAGATTATCCTGGCCTTGTTTTGTTAAATATAAGTGCATGTAGATTGTGTTGGTTTTTGTATGAGATTTGCAATGAGTTCTTCCTTTTTTAGGAGCCGACAAAACCTACAGTATCTAAAATACAGTCTTCTACTGTGCCTAAGCCTATAGCTAGTCATTCTTTTACCGACATATTTGGTGCTCCGATTAGGGCGAAAAGCTCTCCAGACCCTGGTGGGAAAACGAAGGTACGTTTTTAGTATTTTTTTCCAGCTCGTGTGCTAACCATCATTTTCGCAGTTTTTCTACCACTTTTTTTTACTGCATTTTATCTTTTTTAACTTTGAATCAAGATTTCCAGTTCTAATGTTTTTAAAACGATAACAGTTTGACATGCGAATTTCAAATGATCACTTTTTTTCTCGTCTAATTCAGACTATTCCGTCATAAATCCTAGCTGTTTTCCAATATTTTTTTTTAAAGTTGATTTAGAAGTTTTTCAAATTTCGAAATTTTGTACGACATTATTTCATTATGAGTAATCACTTTTTTGTAATTACTTTCGACACTCTGTTGCAATGATTCGACTGCAAATCAACATTGTTTTTGTACTATTTTAGCTGCTTTTAATTGTTTTTTGGCCATTATTATGCCATCTTTCAATTTCTGATAAATTTTTTTTATTTGATCACATTAAATACAAGACTTTTGAATTTAAGTAATTACACCATTTCATTGTGAATCACTTGAACACAATTGCTGCTGAAAAAGCTTAAAAACTAAGACAATTTGCATGATTTCTTCTGAAAAGTCTAACCAGGGGTTAGTCTCTGAACATATTAATTTATTAAAGTTATTAATTTTTGTGGTATAAATAAGAAGCTTGAAAATGAATACAATTAATCAGTTTGGAATATTTAAGTACAGCTTAAGAATAGTGAGGAACATTTTCTTTTTGGTAACTTCTTTTAGTAGTTTTGACTGATTGTAGCATGCCAGTCTAATTCAGTTTTAGCTGTATTTGGTGTTCATTTTCCAAAATACTGCAGGGTTCATATTTGTTCTTATATCCCTTATATGAAATATTTTATTCTTATTTGTCCGGATTTTTAGCTTTTTGTTCTGACTTTTGTGTGTACAGGTACAGAATTTTTTTTAAAAATAATCGATTTAAAGATTAAAAAGATTTAGATTATTGATGCAAGATATTTTTATTTTTAAAAGTGCTTAAGAAAAATCTGCTAGATTCGATAGATCAGACAAGAAACTAGTGTTCTAATTACATGCATGATTCAGGCATATAGCCTTGCCTGCAACATTCATTGTTTCAAAATTTACGAGAATTTAGTCTTTTATGAGAAAGACAATCAAAAATTTTATAGTTTCCAAATTATTCATTCGTCTCTTTCGTCTGATTTTAATAATGATTAATTCCAATCAAGAATTGAGTAGTTTTATAATATAACTTTTGAATAGTGAATCAAGGGATCATCCACTAAATTACTTTTCTTCAGATAAGTAAAACATCACATTCACTTCAAGATGATTGAAACCTTATTCTGAAATTATTTTAACTTCAATTAATTGAGTTTTAAGCTTGATAACTAATTTCAATTTATATATTAATATGAGGGAATCTTTAATAGATTCTGGTAAGTTTTATTAACGCAACAGTACTAACAAATTTTCTACATATTATTTTCAAATTATTATGCTTTGTTCATTGCTCCATTAATTAAAGCATACTGGAAACTGTTAAAACTTTTTGTTCTAAGCCAGTGTTTTCCTTAAGCGTTTTTAGAAGGGCAATCTGCCCCGTGTGCCTTTTGATCCCTATAAATGCACCATCCTTGCCCTTTTTGTGAAAATAAGCCATCATCCTTTAAAAGCACTTGCCTTTTTATTTTTGAGGAAAAGGTTCTCTTAACTGCCTGTTTTAATGAAAAGTCCACTTCTGATTTATTTAGTGACTGATAATTATTTAATTTTAATTTGATTCCTTTATTTTAATAGAATTTTTCTTATGTTGCCTAGTTATATAGTTAAAGTTTGCAGCATATTCAGTTCCAGAGATATTCATCTTTTATTTGAGTGGTGGATATTGATGAATTTCTTTAGTGATTTTAAATTTTATCGTTATTTTTTTTAAATAAATACTTTTTATTTAGAAATATGCCTTTAAATGTTTATTTTTTCATAGTTTTCAGTTTAAAATATAAAGAAAAACCTTTAAGTCAGTTGTTCATTAATCTTTTTTTAGCTTACTTTTTTTGAAGAAAATTTATACACAGAGAAAGTCTTTTAGCTTGTCTTTATTTTTTAAAGCTTAAAATTTTTCTGTTATTATGATAATGAGTGAGAATTACTTTGAACTATACATCAAAAATAGTATAAGAAGATAATTTAAAAATTGAATATCAAATTAAGTTGTTACTTAATATGACATATTTTGATAATTTTTAACAATGTTAAATGAGTGCCTTTTTCTGTGAGGAAACACCCTGCCCTTTTTTATTCTTAGGGAGAACTCTGTCTAAGCAACGTAATTCTGAATTTAAAAAATAGTATATTTTGTTATTCTTTTTGTAGTGAAATTCACCATTATTATACTTAAGTAGAGCTAATTACACTTATATTAGTTAGTAATTTACTCTTTTTAAAAGTAGTTTGGTACAAACTACTGTTCAGTACTGTAACAAAATACGGTTTCAAAAAATGTTCTAATTTTCATCCGAATTTTTTTCTTTTGCCCTTTGTAAGGTCTATTTATTTTCTGGCTTTCATCATTTGTCCGTTTCCAAATAGTCGGAGAACGTCACATCATCAATTATATTTCCATTCTTTATTATGTAATTCATTGTTCCTTTCCAACTAATGTTCCAACTAATTCTACAGCTTCAATTTTATATATATATATATATATATATATATATATAAAATTGAAGCTGTAGAATTAGTTGGAACATTAGTTGGAAAGGAACAATGAATTACATAATAAAGAATGGAAATATAATTGATGATGTGACGTTCTCCGACTATTTGGAAACGGACAAATGATGAAAGCCAGAAAATAAATAGACCTTACAAAGGGCAAAAGAAAAAAATTCGGATGAAAATTAGAACATTTTTTGAAACCGTATTTTGTTACAGTACTGAACAGTAGTTTGTACCAAACTACTTTTAAAAAGAGTAAATTACTAACTAATATAAGTGTAATTAGCTCTACTTAAGTATAATAATGGTGAATTTCACTACAAAAAGAATAACAAAATATACTATTTTTTAAATTCAGAATTACGTTGCTTAGACAGAGTTCTCCCTAAGAATAAAAAAGGGCAGGGTGTTTCCTCACAGAAAAAGGCACTCATTTAACATTGTTAAAAATTATCAAAATATGTCATATTAAGTAACAACTTAATTTGATATTCAATTTTTAAATTATCTTCTTATACTATTTTTGATGTATAGTTCAAAGTAATTCTCACTCATTATCATAATAACAGAAAAATTTTAAGCTTTAAAAAATAAAGACAAGCTAAAAGACTTTCTCTGTGTATAAATTTTCTTCAAAAAAAGTAAGCTAAAAAAAGATTAATGAACAACTGACTTAAAGGTTTTTCTTTATATTTTAAACTGAAAACTATGAAAAAATAAACATTTAAAGGCATATTTCTAAATAAAAAGTATTTATTTAAAAAAAATAACGATAAAATTTAAAATCACTAAAGAAATTCATCAATATCCACCACTCAAATAAAAGATGAATATCTCTGGAACTGAATATGCTGCAAACTTTAACTATATAACTAGGCAACATAAGAAAAATTCTATTAAAATAAAGGAATCAAATTAAAATTAAATAATTATCAGTCACTAAATAAATCAGAAGTGGACTTTTCATTAAAACAGGCAGTTAAGAGAATATATATATATATATATATATAAATCAGGCGAAAGGTTTTAAACAAAAAATTGCATTTTTCTTCAAAAACCAAAAGCGTATGTGCAAGAAAATGTCCGAAAATTAAAGAGATTAAGGTCTAAAAATTTGGTTATTGGAAGTAAATCATTTAATGGAGAATATTTTGAATGTTATATAGCATTTCAGGAAAAAGTTTTGTTAGAGAAGTGAATTCATTATAGGGAGAATTTGCTAGCAAACATTTTTAAGCATTTATGTTACTAAGATAATTTAGACACTTTTCTTTCGTTTTAATACACCAAGACACTACAATATTTTTTATTAGTCTGTTGCGAAAGGGGTTGATTTGCATTTTACATATTCATGATGTATGCCTGGGCATTTAAATTTATGAGATAAAAAAATTCAGAACTTGTTTTATTCATGATAGCTTAGAAATCTTCTAATCTTCTCCATAATTTAATTAAAGTATATGATTTTTAGATGGAATTGCTTAAACAAACTTAGTTTTTATTTTTTAAATAAGGTGTTCCACTAATTTTATATTGAAATACACAATAAAGTAAAACTTTTTCAGGGTGTGTAGCATTTTTAAAAAGTGCTTAAAGGTGCTTATTTTTGATTTACGTTTTTCAAAAGTCCTCATAGATGCTTTATTTTTTTTTTATTTTTTTGATTCGGGGGTTTTAAAAAGTGCTTAATTTTCTATCTTTTAAAAAGAGATTTTTTCTTTGCCTTATCTATTTTTATTTTAAATTACAAAAAATTCATGATTTTCCACAATTTCTTCTGCAATATTTATCAGAAACTTGTTATTTTATCATGATTATGTAAAGTTTTTGAGTTTTATTGATTTTATTTATGTTTATAAATTAAGAACTTTAAACAATAGAAAAAAATAATTTTTATAACTTCACAGATACTAATTCTGATTTTTTTTTTTTTTTTTTTGCGACNACAGATCCTAATTATGATTTTTTTTTTTTGGAAAGTGATTAAAAATATTTTTTGAGTGCTTAAAAAGCACTTAAAAGGTGCTTATTTTTTATTGAAAAATCTGGCCATGCTCCCTGTTTTTCTAGTGTCTTAGCTATTTAATAAATTTATTAGATTTTTTAATAATCATTTTATCACATTTATGCAGGGTTCTCTGTATGTGCTCCAAAATATATGCTTCCATGGCTGATATAAGCATTTTCATTAGCAACTGAAACAAAAAATTAATTATAAACTAAAAAAAATTGTTATTATTTATTTTTGTGAAAATTTGTTATGCTTAATTATATTACTAGTTTCAAAACAGCTCTTTTGAAACTAAATACATTTGCATATCTTCTCTCAATTAAATTTATAATAAGTAAGCCATTCAGCAGTTGCAACAGATCTGTTGTATAGCAATTCTAAGGTAAAAAAAAATTTCTCACTAAAATTTACAAAATTAATTGTAAAATTATGTTTAATTGTTTAAACTATTTTTCACCACTGTCCATTTTAGTGTACATTTTTGCTGCATGCATTCTATTGCAATTTGTTTAAACTAAGTATTTTTTTCTTATTAAACTTTTAGGGAACTAGCAGCTCTAGTCAGTCCAAGAGTAAATCCAGTACGGTAACTACCAATTCATTCAGTAAAGAAAAAAGCTCATCTAAAGATTCTCATCATTTACCAAAAGAAAAGTCTCATTCAGTTAAAAAGTCCCCATCATCTAAAGAAAGCCACCGTTCATCTAAAGATATTCATCATTCTTCTAAAGATTCTCATTCCGTACCTAAAGAAACTAGCTCACTTTCTAAAGACCATTCCACTAAAGATACTCTTGATTCCTCTCAAAAGGAGCGTCCTCCTAAATTGAAGGAACATAAATCTTCCAAAAAGTCTCACTCTTCTAAAGATGGGCACCAGTCTTCAAAAATAAAGCACCATTCTAAAGAATCTCGTCATTCTCCTAAACAGCCTCACCAAAGTAAACGAGATCATCACATTTCTCCTAAAGATACTCAAGCTCCTAGTGATTTACCATTACTACCTAAAGAGAGTAATTCTGTTGCAAAAGAATCCCATCGTGTGTTAAAGGACCCACAACCTAGCACTAAAGAAACACTACCTGTGAAAGATTCTGAAAATTCAAAAGAAAGCATTTCTGGTGTCAAAGAGCCTTATCCATCTACAAAAGAAATTTCTAAACCTATTAAAAAAGAACCTCACCCTGTTATTAAAAAAGAACATTCAACCATTAAAGACCAACATCAAATCAAGAAAGAGCCTCAGGCTTCTTCCAAAGATGTTCATTCTTCAAAAAAATCAAATCGTCCTCCAAAAGATGCTCATAGTTCTGTGAAAGACTCAAAGCGGAGTCATAAAGACAAAGATCGCCCTCCCAAAGTATCTCATGTTCCTAAAGAGCCTGAAACTCCCATCAAAGAACCTGAGTGCCCTCCCAAAGAACATATTAAGAAAGAAAGCCATCGGCCGCCTAAAAAGTCTCATCATAAAGAGAAACATTCAAATGACTCAGTTTCTCATAAGGAGCATCAAAAAGATCACAGTGCTTCGAAGGAAGTAATTCGTTTGTCTAAAGAAGAACCTTTGCCTAAAGAAATCCCTCACGCTAAAGAGCTGCATGAGACTCCTAAAGTAACACACTCTTCAAATAAAGTGCACCATCATTCCTCAAAAGAATCTCACAAAGAGAATCGCCATAAACATAAGGACCCACATGTATTCAAACAACCTCGTGTACCTGATGGGCCGCAACCAAATAGAGAAAGCTCACAAATAAAAGAGATTCATCATGCCAAACATATCCATCCCTCAAAAGAAGCAATACGAAGCTTTAAAGAGCCTCCTCCAGTTCCAAAAGAAACTCACCACACTGAATCCAAAGATGTAAAAGTTATTAAACAGCCAAAACCAGTGAAAGAGCCCAAACCAGTGAAAAGAGCTGCTCCTGAACCACCCAAAATTCACCAACCTCCCTTAAAGAAAAGAAAACCTATATCTTCCTCTTCTGGAAGCGAAGATGAGGAACCAGCTTTTACGCAGTTGAGATTGCCTAATGCTAAAGAGAAAATTGAGAAACATAAGTTTAAATCATTCAGCCCTCTGCCAGTGGAAGAAGAAAAACCAAAGCACAAAGGTAACGTAACCCCGATTGATAGAGAATCTCCCAGGCATCCTACTCCGAGTCCACCCGAGGTTGCACCATCATCTGTCTCAAGTAATGAGGATTCAGGTTCGGAATCGGATGATTCGAAGAGAAGCAGTAATGTCCGTGCGCAATATAGTAGTCCTGCATCTAGCATATCTGAAACTTCACTTGATGGAAATCCACCTTTTGCAATTGACGAGTTGGAAAGCAATGTTATATCACCATTAAGTAGTGATTCTGAACCATCTCCAAAGCCTCCTAAGAGGAAAATTGTGAGCAGTGATTCAGAGGATCTGGATGAATCTCCTTCTCCGAAATCACAAAGAAGTAAAGTAGCTACTAGTGATTCAGAGGAGTCTGTTTCTCCCAAACAAATTGAAGAAAAGTCCTCCAGTAGTGATTCTGACTCTGATGCTAACAGCGCGGAATCCAATTCTGAGCCTGAAGCAGAAGAGGAGGAGGAAGAAATGCAAGTTAACTCGGAATCAGAATCCGAGTCTGACTCTGATTCAAATAAAAGTCCAAAATCAGAACCTGAATCTGCATCTTCTCCAGAAGTACCACATAGGCTTGAGCAAAGTCATTACTATCACAAACAGAAATCCAAGAACCATTTTCAAGGGAATGGAAGCGTTAGTAATGATGCTCATGAAAATTACTATTCCGATGAAGAAAACAGCCCTCTGTACTATCCCCCGAGAGAAAATAGCCGCTATCCCCCGAAAGATGACTATTTTGATACCAATGACTTGTTTAAAATGCAGAGAATAATTATGACTACCGACGATCGGCAACTTCTGCAGAATGTTGTGGATATTGTGGAGGTAACTGGTAAATTTCACGTCTCTAGTACAACAGTTGAATTTGATCTTTGCAATCTGGACACTACGACTTTAAAGCGTTTGAAGTACTATTTATTATGAGCCTGTGATATGTCTCATCATCATTCTTGTTTATATATTCATATATAGTGAGATGACATCCCCCCCCCTTTTCATCCATGTCATTTTTGAAATGGAGTAGCTAGTGATAAGATGTGGCAAGTGCAATCCATGGAACTGCTCCTTTTTCATTTTGATGAAGATTGTTATCACAAAACAAAATGACCTAATTATTTATAGTATTTTTAATTAGTGAGAAAATATTTTATTTGTAAGCATGTTAAAATTTGTTATTATATAGATATAATAAATAAATGTTATTTATTATATACATATAATAAATATAATGTTGACTGTCATTATATTTGTTGAAAATCATGAATATTACGTTCTCTGATTTTTTGTGTTCATAATTTATTAGGGACATTATAAAGCATATTGAAGAATTAATATATTTTGCTGTAACTCTTAACTTTTGTGTAATATTTATAAAAGCAAATTTTATGTTACGTTTGTAGAAGAATAGAATTATATGTCAAATATTTTGTTCTGTTTTCTTGTTATTGTGAATTATAATATACCCCTCTTTTGAAAATTCAAATACTTATACTGTAAATGCACCTTTATTTTTATTGTATGTAAAAAAAAAAATTTCTTTCTAGCCGTTGGTCTTAGACTAATCTGTGTTAAAGATTTTGCTGAACTTAAAAAAAAAAAAAAAAAAAGCTCATGGGTTTTTGCAAAGTTGCAATTTCATTATACATCAAGGGGTGATTGTATTCTGGCTGTACCAGAATACAGCCAGAATGGAATATACTACATGGAATTCAGGGGTTTTCGTATTATTCTTCTGGGTATAAAAATTAAGAGCAAGGCATATGACTTCATTGGGAATATTGCGGTATCTCATTTCTCAGGAATTTTAGTTCTTGGATTCTTTCTAATCAAAAACTTAAAAATCTGGCAAAATTTTAATGGGATTCCACAATCTAAAAAGTAAATTTTGAAACTTTTGTTAAATCTGAATAGTAAAAAGTTTTTTGTGGACGCATACCAGATTTTGGAGATTGTGAGGATTTTTGCAATTTCTATTTACATGATTTTAATATCAAGCGTTGATTTCCGTATTTAATTTAAAAGTTACACGTTGCGATTCGTATTCGCATAGTTTAAGATTCATACTCAAGCGGTTCAAAATACAGCATTGCGGTTTTAATTCACACATTAGATTTCGTAATTCGAGTTTACTAGAGTTTAAAATTCAATATCGCAATTGTATTCACACTTTTTAAAAAATATTATATAGCGATTTGTATTCATGCTTTTGTAATAATTGATTTTCGTATTAATACATGATTTAAAAGCTACATTACAATTCATATTCACACTATTCTAAAATGGAATATTGTGATTCATATTCACCCGATTTTAAAATCCAATATCGCGACTCTTCTAAGAACTAAGGTTTTTCTTAAATAAGGTGTGATATTCTTCAGTGGTAGGTAATTTAATCATAAATCTTATTTCAGGAAATTATGTTAGGCACGAAACATTATGGTGTATAAATTGGTATCGTGATATTGATTTTTTGCACATTAAAGTTTCAGAGTTTTTCACTTCAATCACCCCTGATTGCATTTGCGTGCAACTCATATTCCTTTACCTCAGTGCTTTATAATTTACTAAAAGAACTCTAAAAAATTCGTACTTGCCACAAGGAATAATACTGTGCTTCCAATTTTTGCTGCTGCCAACTTTTTTTTTTTCAATTAGTCAGTTGTATTCTCCAGAAATTTTTTTTTATTCTTTTGTCATTTTACTGTATGTGCCAGTTAAGCATTTTTTATTGATATTTCATTGCTTATATTGTTGCTAATTATGTGTTTTTTAAAGTATTGTATGATTTTGGAAAACACCTACTAAATTCTGAAAAGTTATTGTTAATGTGTATTGTATATTATATTTTTGATGTTTCTCCCTTTTTTATTGAAAAGCTTATTAGTAGAATAGTGTTTTGAAAACAATAACCTTCCCATGTTCAAAAACATTGTTCAGTTGTGTGAAGTATTTATTTATACTTCCATTTCTTCAATAAGTTATTATCAATTATAGCAATCAATATTATCAATATAAGCAATAAGTAGCTAACAATTGATATAAAAATTAAGCTCTCTAAAAGGAAATAAGATATGAAGTGTGCACCTTTATTGAAGGTAGTCCATTAAATTGCAATATAGGAAGCATTTGTAGGAGAGCAAGCTAGAAGTGTCCCAAATTTGGGTTAGGATCTGCAAAGTATGATTACAAAGGTTACTTAAGTGCAAATATGTTACTTAGTGTTCTGATTTCTAAATATATCCAGTGTCAGGGCTTTCTTTGAAAAGTGAATTCTCAAATTAAATACATAGCTGCCAACTCTACTGGATTTTCCAGTAGACTACTGGATTTTACTAGTTTCTCCTGGTCTACTGGTTTAGTAAAAATTCTCCTGATTTTTGTACATTTTAGAAAATTGATTAAGTTTCCTTAAAAAATTCCTATATTTCAAAAGGGAATAAAATTTTTGTGCAGATTATTGCTTGAATATTTAAATAAGTGTCACTGATAGTGAAGCGATCCTCATTTATAAAATTCAGTTTACTAACTGAATGAATTAAATGCCTAATTCTATTCAAAATTATGAATAAACATAAGACATAACATATTATGTGAAATCATAACTGGAAAATATTGCAGTTTTTCTATTTCAAAGAGTATAAAAATCCCTGAAATTCTATATGTGTAAAATATTTAGTATATTTTGCAGCAACTATCATGAAATTTATATTATTTTTTGAAATCTACTGGATTTTTTCCTTTCCGTGTTAGCAGCTATGTAAATAAGATCAGTTGCAGTAGTTTAATCATAAATTTCTGTGTTTGATTGCTTGTAGCATGCAAATTTTAATCTGTAACATATATTGTGCTCAAAATTATATATTTTTAATTGTTATTGGGTACTTTTTTTAAACCCTTTTTTGGCAAATCCAAAAAAAAAAAAAAACCCAACTTTTTTGTTGTTGTTTTTGATGCTATTGCTCTCTTTGAAGTAAGTTTTTGTCCTATTTTAGGATTTTACAAAATTAAACTATTTCGAAATATAAAAAAAGGGAAAATAATACTTTCATTTTTATATTTTATCTAAAAAGAATATAGAAAATAAAGTTATAGTTAAAATACATGTTAGGAAGAGCTAATGACTTTTTGAAATATTAATTTAATATAAATTTTTAATAAGAAAAACTAATTCATTTATTTTTACAGTGCAAATTTTTTGTTATTTATTCCCTATGTTAGAGAAAATTGGGAATAAGTCAACACAAATGTTTTTTAACCCTATGTATAAATATGTTATGCTTATTTTATTTCTTAAGTTGCTTATTCCTTTGAAAAGCAATTCCTCATTCTTTCTAAAAAAAAAATTTCTGCAACTAGAAAGCAATAATTTCTCCTTGTATGCAAAACTACTTATTTTTCAATGTTTCATCTATATAATGTAAATGTTCATGAAAAAAAGGGATGTGTTGGCATTTGAGTATAATTCAAAATTTATTGCAATGCTTACATAAAAAAAAAATAATAATAAAATCACAAATTTTAAATAGGGATTTCTTTAAAAAATATTTTATGTCATTTATTTCCTTAAAATTCCAATAACAGGTAAGTTTATTTAATATAAAGATATCTTATAAAGTGGTGTAGTGTTGTTGATCAGTGCTAAGAATGAGTTTTTAATTTATTTAAGTACTTTTTTTGTGTCATTTGAATACATTCATTAAAAATAATTTCATTTTGTGGAGCATTTTTTATTTACATTGTACATAGCATCCAGTGCCATTATGTTATGAATTGTATATTGTACTATCAGTATTCTGAAAAAGAATTTTTTTAAAGCTATGAAATGTAGAGTTAGCTTGCATACTTTTGCAGTTTTCAAATTTGATAGTTTTTGAATGTTTGAGAGAAAATAAAAAGTAATTTTTAGTAAGGATGTTTTATAATTATAAATAACCCTTTGTTTTGAGATTTTGAGTAAGTTAATGTGTATAAGTATGAACTTTTTTCTAACAATTGTAAAAACATTCTTGTAATATGGATGAATTATTTACTTTTGACTGTTTTACTTGTTCTACTTAACTGTTGAAATTAGTTGCAAAATTGAATTGTTCTCTTTTTAAAATAAAAACCTATGCTCATAAATTTGTAAAAAATAAAAAAATTCTTAAAACTTTGTATGGCTCTTTATAAATACAGAATTTTCCTTATCTTATTTCCTCCCCTCGATTAAAAATTTTAATTCAAGCAGCGTCATGTGTCGGCACCTAAATCTAGGTTTTCCTCTTTTTCTTTTTTCACTAGTAGCCTAAGTAATGTCATCAGATGTTTTGCACAGTGTTCTTTACTGACCGTTCTTATTTGATATGTCATGAATGAACTATGAAGTGACCTGATAGGACACTGGTAATCTTGCAACTGTTTCTTCTAAGGTGCTTCAATAAAAGAGGAGGTACTCTTAGCTCATTTACTAAAAGATGTTAGAATTCTGAATAGGTTTATATGTATTTTCTTGAATCTCAAAAAAATCATAAAAAAAAGTTTACACGTTATGGGTCTCTTACATATTTAAGCTAGGGAAGGTATTATCGAAATGAGAAGCATCACTACTGAGGAGAGTGGGACTGAAGTCATTAGAACCCACTTGATTGCCTGATAAAACATGGTGGTGTTTCTAATAATCGACTTTAAACTTCTTTTTTTTTGTGAAAGTCAAGGGGTTAAGCTGCTCTAGAATTAAGGGTGATCATTTGTTTTCTCTTTACATTATTTAGTGTGGCCTCAAAATTTATAACTTTTATAGAACTAACGTTTTATGAGCAGAGGAAAAGATATCGATGTAGTACTCAAATTTCGAGGTACTGTGGTGTGCAGTCTAGGTAGCTTAAAAAGCGTTTTTATCGAAGTTACATTTTTCTAGTTTTTTTTTTTTAATAAAAAGAACGCGCCATTTCCCAAAAATCTCTATTCACGAACTTTTGCAGCTATTCGTAAATATAATTAAATAGAAAATTGTAATTTTCCACTTTAATTTAAAAATTGTTAATTTTTTAAAGAAATTCTTCACTGAAGATATGTAGTGCGCAATAAAAAAAACTTAAATAACTTTTGATCCAATGATTGTATTTTCACGTACTAGTTCTTGATTTTAATGATTTGGGGGTAGGGCAAACCTTAAAATTTAATAACTAGTGCAGACGATATTTTAACAAAGAATGTAGAAAGTAGGACTCCAAGCTTGACTAATATTTAACTAACGCAGGGGCACTGCGCTGCGCTATACCCAGAAAACAACTTACTGGGTGAGCAACATTCTCAGATTTAGCAGAGCATCATGTGTACTAAGATCCAGGGTACGTCACCTGTAAATCGGTTGTTGGACAACTCTACATATACGGTTGGGTTATGCCGCAAACCGCCATATTCTTTCTTCCTATGTCAAAAAGTGTAAGTAGATTTAATTAACATGGATGATATAAATGTATTCTCAAAGCAATATCTTTGCAAACAATATAGTACCGTTTATCAGTAGTGTAAAAATGCAGAAGAAATAGACAATAAACAAAAAGAGAAAACTTCATCCCAACCCAGTGGTTAAAGAAGGGTTTCAAAAACCTCTGCTGTTCAGCCCCTAAATGTTGTTTTTACCTTTATACACTGGGGTCGCACCCAACATTTTAGGCTAGTTTAGCTCAGGGCTAAAGAGAATAGAAAGGCTAGTTCACTCCGCTCTTAGAGCTGAAGCTACGATTTCCCTCCTCATGACGTCACTGTGTCCACAGATCTCGGAGATCGCAAGCAAAGATATGATAACTTTGCATCTTTCTCTTTGTAAAAATAAGTTAGACTTTTTCTGGTTATTAGCCTTCAAACTTTACGTAATTAACACATTATTTCCGTTCATAAACATAGTTCAAAAAAAACTTTCTTGGTTATTATATTAAAAAAATACCATTTTAAACTTATAAAAATGTTTTGCTAGTTGGTGAAAATGACACGATAAATACTTTATTTTAAAAAGTTCAGTTTTAACTTTAACTATTAAGAAAAATGAAGGCATATATCGACACTTTTTTTATCTACATATTCTTTTATAACGATAAGTTAAGTTAAATTTAGAATCCCTGATTTTAAAATATGTCGTTAATAGCAATTTGTTCATACTTAATCATTAGGAAACATCAACCTTAAACGCTAATTACTGAAACAAAATAATAATTTAGGTTCATAATGACATTAGAAATTTTACAATTGTTTATAGACATTTAAATTTACGATGATATAATTTATAGATATTTAAATTGAAGAGAATATAATTTTTAAAAAAAATCATAAATATTTAGAATAACTACATTAAAAAATATGTTATGAAATTAGGAGAATTCCAACTATATACTATATATTTTATTTATACTTTTTATTTACATTTTAATTTTCTTTGACTTTATCCATTTTTTAATTTTTTTCACCTGCCTTTCTTTTTGAAGTAACGAGGCGGTTTCTATTTAGATAATGAATTTTTATAAAAGATCTCAACGACAGAATAAACGTATCGCTGTTTTATATTAACTGTGTCATTTCGAAATCCATTCATTGCATAGTTGTTCATTTACTTTAGGGAACACGCGGAAAAGTATATTTTTTCCTTTTGTTTTTCTATCAAAATTTTTTCAAGTTGAAATCGCGCAAACTGGCATTTTGATAATAGTTTTAAATTCTTGTCAATTCACTGCAAAAACTGAGGAAAGTCATTATAGAAAATAACAAATGTCTTAGAATATCTCGCAAAAAGAAATGCTCCAATATTAGTTAGAGCTAGTAAGGCCGAGCGCTCCATTCTTGAAGTAAAAGTGCGAGCTTTGCGCCAAAGGCACGTCACTAGAGAAAATCGGAGGATTGGCGCGGCGAGAGCTACTTCAAAGAAGTGAACCAGCCCTTCTATTCTCTTTAGCCCTGAGTTTAGCTAGTCTAAACTTCTCTCCCTATTCGTTGATTTAAAATTTCGAAATCAGACACAAAAAACGTATTTTGAGCGTCGAGAAAAAAGTATGTTTACTGTGAGAAAGTACGTTTCTGAGTCTAATTCCATAATTTAAAATATCGCTTACATAAGTTAATTTGCATATTTTAGTTTAGGCTCTCGAACTATTAACATAGTTTTTCGAAGGTCCGTCGCCAAGGAAAATAAAAAGGTCACAGTTTAAGTGTCTTTCACTTGAAGCTAAACGATGACTTGCCGTAAAGAATTATTTGATCCTTAGAACGGACAAATAACTTAAACATTTAAAAAGTTGTAAATTGTTTTTAAAAATTGCCAATTAGGTGATATTTTCCCACCTAGATGAAAATTATTAAAATCACTGCCTTATTCTCAGTTTTTGTAACTTTTTATGAGCCCAGATAATGCAGCATTGGAGTAAGCTTTTAAATATTAAAAAGAAAAAAAAATTAGAACACAAACGCTTTTCATTTCCTGAAAACTGGTTTTTATCCATATTGATGTTTTGCGCCATTTTCAGAATAAGCATTGACTGCGCTAGCTTTAGATAGGCTAAACATGTCCTAACAGTTATGAGTAACTGTTATAAACTTAAAATAGTTAAGTATTCGTGAAAAAGCATCATTTCATATGACAACGAAGCCTTTGAAAATAAGAGACCTTAAGAGCTAGAGTATACGATCATTAGAACAAAAGTTATTAAATATATTCGCTTTTTTTTTAAAGCTCTGTCCAGTTGCCAGTTTTTTTTTGCATTGCTTCGGAATGATTAAATTTCACTAATTTACTAATCCATATAAAAGTTTTTTTCATTCGTACTGAAACTGAGGTAAAAAACTTGTATAAGGCTTTAAATTTGAGTGACTCAAATTCAATCAATGGCTGTAATTCATAATTTATTCAGTAATTATTTAAAGATATACTGTACGTGTGTACCAACCAAATAGTTCTACCAACCCTTTATTTAAAATGGTAGCGATTTAACATCTATTTCATTAATTTTGCCAGAATTTGAAACCTTTCCTATCCAATTTACAGTTATTATTTATTTCTTCACATTAATTATATATAATATAGTGTCATTGTTAATCAAATGGATTAAATTAAAAATAAAGTTGTTATTTGTAAAATTTACTACCACTTTAAATATTAAAAAAAATAAATTTCCTGTTTAAAGTGAATAAATATTTTATTTTCACCTATAAAAAAATGTTTAAGTCTTTTTTTTAAAAGATACTTAAACAAGAGAAAAAATGAATTAACGGCTGACATTAAGATTAGTGTTTCGATGAAATACATAAAGCTCATCACGCGATACTGACATCTAATGAAATTCTTGTTGGAACGAATTCCGAGGCTACATATTGAGTTATAATACAGACTGCTCATCACCATGGCAACTACTTCCAAATCATATGTCTAAATCCTTATTTGCTAAAAATACTTATAACAAAAGAAGTTCTTTATACAGTATCCGGAGTTAGTTGGCGGAAAACATCTAAACTTTAAAAGTAAGTTTTAAAATAAAGTTGTTTTGATATATATAATCCCTTGAATTAGAAAATATTGATCATTTGAATTACAATAAATCCTTTCTTTTAAAATTGTCTTAAAACGCTTTTAAGTTTTGCAGTTACGGGAATTTTAAGTATAGGAATAATTAAATTTATTTTTATTCAATTACGTAGATGATAATCGTAATTTTTTTGCATTATTATTAAAATTTTCGATATCGTTTAGTTTTATTTTTTATGAAGAAATAAAATCTGCAATAAATTTGGAAATCTTCAATAAAGTGAAACGCTGTAAATCTTCTGGAATTCTGTAACAAAGTAAGCATGTTTACGAGTAATAGATATATATTTTTGCGCTAGTAGTATACAATATATATAGTAATGTATATAGTAGTATAGCGAGTAATATATATATACTTTATTTAGAAATGCATTGTTTCCAATTTAAGTACAACAGATTTCTTAATCCACCCGTAAGCCGACCCAAAATACGTTTTTGATTCATCGGTTCTGGAATTTTCATATTAAAATTAGTTGGGGGTATTTCCGTATCGTGATCTGCAACGCCAACTAAAATCGCTAAAGCGCCAAGTTGGTTTGAAACAGGAAAAATTAAAAAGAAAAAAAAAAAAAAAACAACTNTTTTTTTTTAGTTTTTTTTTTTTTTTTTTTTTTTAACATTATTAAATCTGTAGTTCTATAATAAGTTTTCATACTAACATTTATTGACTTTATTTTAACAAGAAATTTAAACTACCATTAAAAATTTATAAGTAAAAAAAAAGAAATACATCGATTCATGAATTTCAAGAACAATAGAGTAAAGCATATTTAAATAATTTGCTTGTATATCTGATCCTGGAAGGAAATAAATTAGAAACCTTATTACCGCATAAAAAGATTGCACTATATTCATAGCAATTCATTATTGTTATATTATGAAAGTTTTCTTTTAAGCTAAAATTGTTCTCTCTTGGAATTAAAATTTAAATCCAAAAAGTGAAGTGTTCTAGGTAATATTTTAAAAAAACCTGTTCAAACCCATCCGAATTGCTTATTTTTTCATTTTAATGTGCAGATATGCCTAGCAGTAACAGCTGTAAACTTACATCAGTTACAAAAATAGCATATTATTCGCACCAAAAGCATTATTCCTTGCGACAACAGTGCCTTTGAAAAACAGCCTGAAGAAAATTATAGTTAAGATCAAAATTTTATTCTTTATATTAATAATATATTACGGTGAACAGGAACATCTTCTTTTTCTAAGGTAAATTTAAAGTAGGAAATAATTGAGTTACCAGTCTTAATCTTGTCGGAAAAGAAAAAAAGAAAAAGAGAGAAATGTAATGTTTAATGGATAAAGGTGAGGAGAAATTACATTTTGTGTCTTCTCCCGACGATATTTATTTTATTTCATTTTAAATAAAAATGACGAGATGATCCCAACATTCTATAATAATATTTTCTTCCTTTTTTTCTGTCTTAGTTTATAATAGTCTTCCGTCTTAGTTACATTTAGTTTATAATATTGTTTGATTTTGTTATTTTTTTTTTTTAAATCCGCATTAATTTTGGAGTTATTAAATCTCAAAATTTCGTTTCTATTCTCCTGTGTAATGCATTTACTAATTGTTTTAAAATCATTATTTTTTTTTGCTGCCGCGTTCTTTTTTTATGTTTAGAGATCGAGATACATTTTTTCTTTTATTGGAATTAGTTCTGGAGTTATTAAATTTTAAAGCTAGCTGTTACAGATGTCTTTCGTGTCAAGTTAAAACTACGCGTCCGCACCTGGCTAGCACCAACCACAGTTCTAACGTATAATATCCTAATTGTCAGATCATACATTTGATTCCCCTAGCCGTCAGACTGAGAGGTTTTCGTGTTTTTCCTCTCCATGTTACGCAAATGTTAGTTCCGTCAAAAACTCCTCCCCGAAGGCAAATTTCCCCCAATACTTAATCCAGGAGTTCCCTTGTCTTCCGGATAGAATTCAAAATTAGAAGTCTACGGAGTTGAACATTGGAAGCCGTAAACTTAAAATTGGATAAGCTACTCAACGATGATTATAAAATAAAATAAAATGAGAAAGTTTGGGACCCACAGTGGCTCAGGGGTTAGAGCGTCCTCCTCCCATTGTAGTAATACAGGTTAGAAGCCTTGAGGAGGCTGGTGAACATGAATTCCACTCCCGGCCTACCATAATGGTAGATATCAGTGGTAGACGGATCATGGGTTAGAACCCTCTTGTCGTCGGGTTTACCTAGGGAAGTTTTCGTGCCTTTCCTCTCAAGGAAACGCAATTTCGGGTTATTTCCATTAAGAAGTCCTCCATAGGGTAGTTTGCCCCAATGCTTGATCCAGGAGTTCCCTTGTCTTCTGGTTTGGGTTCAAAATTACAAGGCTACGGAGATAACATTGGTAGTCGGAAATTCAGAATTGGGATGGCTGCTCAACTCCGGTTATAAAATTAAAAAAAGAGAAATTTTGATCAGAACGTTTTAACAAGATAATAAATCTCCAGCCAATTTGATAAAAAATTGATTTCCATAATATTTGTGCGGGTTCCTTTTGTTATGATTTTCGAGTTTAATACAAAATTATTTTTGGGAAGAATTTCTTAACTAAGTTGATACATTTTTCGTATAATGAAAACACATTTACGAACATAATTTAATTTTAGCATAAATTCAACTTTGTTGCAGATCCAAAATTTCAATGCAGCCTCAGGAAAACGTCACGAATTCTGCAGTCATCAAAGCAACTTGTTATTGTCCATGTGCTCAACCCAGCAAGGTAATATAACTTTCCTTTTTATTTACCCTATAATACATATCGTAAAATTGCTCGTGTCATATGCTAGTAATATAATTCGGCCTTTTGCAAACAACCGCAGTCAGAGCCCTGTATGCTCTAATCAGCTTCACAATTTCTATGCTTATTGAAATACTTTTTATGCTTCAGAGTAATTGGAGAGGACAGCAATCATAATCTGATTCATATTTAGGCAGTTTGTAATAAGCTCGGAATTTTGAAGACTAATTGTAAATGGCCTTAGTAAAGATTTTATGGCAAAGAGCAAAAGCGAATTCAGTAATTCTTCGCATATATCTTTATTAGCTCAAAGATTTATAAATAGATTGTTATAATCCTAAAAACATCAGACAGATTAGAAAATACCAAAGAATTTTTTTAATTACTTTGGCTCATTACAAAATACGGATGGCTTTTTTAAATTAGTAACGATGCATCGTACTTGATAGAAATAAATAACTTGAGCTGTTTTTAAATAATATTGTTACTTCTTTTATAAAAATTACAGACCCTGGGAATATTTTTTACACCAAATCAACCAACTTTAGCCATCGAAGTGCATCTGCTCTGTTGTTGTTATTTCCATGTAATGGAATTTTCCTATTTAATGGAAGAATTCTTATTAGATGGCTTTGGTCTATAACTTTTAATAACTGCCGAAACTCAAAGTTTTAAACAATCACACAATGTAATAATACATTTTTATGAAATTTAGAACTTTTCAAACATTAATTAAAGAGTTTTTAAACAAAGTAGGAAGGAAATTTTAGTATATATATATATATATATACACTTAGAATATATATTAAGCTTGAAAAGAGGCTAGTCAAATTTACACCATTCCTGATGTTTAGAGCCTAGCAATGCAAGGATATACAAAAGATACCCACGTGACGAAAAGAGCCAATCATCACGCGTCTGAAATCTTGGTTGAATGAGGTTTTCAATCCTCTTGTGACGTCACGCGCCTGATGTCAGGCCTCGTAATTGGGGAGAAATGTAACTCTTAGCATAAGTAGTATTGATAAACCATGAATAATGTAATACATTGTTGCAAAAACTTCATTGGCTGTAACTTACTTGTTTTTGATCTTATAAAAGACTGCAAGAGCTTCTTCCAGTACCAGCAGACACATGACAGGTGCAGATCGGAGTGGACAGGCCATTCGAGATTATTGGAAGCGACAGGACTTCTTGGATCAAATCACAGACTATGCTCAGCGGCAAGAGAAAGAACTAATTCGCAATCAGTGGGAACATGAAGCTGAAAGGAAAGCTTTTTACAGCAGGGTACAGTGGGAAATGGATAAGATTAAGGGAAAAATGGAAGAGGACTTGGAAAAACGCAGAAAAAGGTAATTTTATGCACAATGAAGAACGTTTTGAACAGTTGATCAATAATATATTGAAAATGAAAGGTAATTATTAAAAATGCTTTTCAAAGTCCTACGATAATCAAATTCGTCTAGATTTCGGTAATATATGACTTGAATAGGGAGCAGCCTGTTTCGCTTTCTTTACAAATATTTGTCTCAAGTTTCGTTATTATTCGATGTTAGGCTAGAGGTTCAATCAACTCTGTTATGCAACAAGACCTACTTAGAAGGGAACAAGCACGTTTTAAAACTGGTATTTGTTTAGATTTTATACAAAGTTGTAGCAAATATTTATGTTTTGGTTGTGAACGTGGTTAATAGTTGACTTCGCCAAAAGTGAAAAGCGGACTGCTTGTCTATTGGCCTCAACTTAAAATATTACTGAAGATTTTAAGAGAAGATTTTTTTTAGTTATTTTCTCTCTGATTTAATGATTTATATATACAAAGTAACTCAAAATCAAATAATATAAATAGGGAAGGAAGACTAGCTTCCATAAACAATGGACATAATGTAAGCCGGTCCTCCAAAGGTTGGAACAGGTCCTGTGTATCAACGAAAAAACTACATATAGGGCCACAGCAGCAGATAATCTTCTTGAAATAAATTTGCAACCATCTCTCCTCGTTAGGCCGCAACACATCCCAGTCTACCTCTTGCAACAATAACCAAACTTATCATGAGTTCATGGATTTCCTTTCCCTTGTGTACTTGCGTATCCAGCCCTACTGATTTCTGGCTCATCTTATAAACTCTTGTGAACCCAGATGATGAACTGATTTGACTTTTGTTTGAGCAATCTGAAATCCTTTTCAAACTCTTTTGAACTAGTAAATTTTCAAATTTTACTAAGTGCAATTTCGTACTGTCTGCATTGAACAATACGTGTTTAACCCTGTCTCTCCACCTGCTCTTTTGAACATCTTTACACAGGGTGAGTTGACTGACAATCTTCAAACCGTACCCCACTCCTGATTCTTTCACCACAGCCCGAACCTTTGCCACTGCCGGACCACTTATTGTTTGAATCTTGGAACTGTTCATATTAAGCAATTAATTACTCTATCCAATCACCTTATGTAAACTTTTTTACCTCAAGCTAGTAATTTTCTTAGGCTAGTACAATTTTCCTACAGGAAATAAGCGGTGCAAGGTTCTCCGTAGCCTTCATATCAGTTCTAGTTATGTATTTAGAGAGCTAGACTTCTCCTATATTGAGAATAAAACTGCATCATAAGATAACAGTATCATATGGTATAGTAAACCATGCCATAGATCAATAAGAATAAAACAGTGTTAATATTATGGAAAAAAAAGCTAGATAATAAACTCGATCTGAATGAGAGAGGGACACTTTTTACGTCTGAAATAGGAACCACCAATTTTTATTGCAGCTTGGACCTCTGTAGAAAGAGTACCTCAATTTGAGCAATAGGTTTTAGCATTTTAGCAGATAATATTTACTTCAACAATGGATAAATAATTATCATTTAAAGGAAAAAAAATCGAAACAAAACACTGAAAATTGCAATAACTTTCAAACAAATAGGAATTTTAGGAAAAAAAATCTTATTAATTTTATAATTCAAAACAGTTTTATCAGCACGTCAAATTTTAACTGGGTGGTTGTATTACAGCTGATACTAGATCGACATACATAGTTTTTTTACTACAAGTTTAACATTTAACTATTCCTGAACTAATAATCGAATGGTTAAGTTTTTTATTCTGTCTAACTCTCTTGTATATTTTTCTACATGCCTTTGTAATATAAAGTTTCTAAATGTGTTGGATTTCGGCCAGCTAAGAGCGCAATGTTAGCACAGAGAAATGAAGAAACATTAGTAAAAGAAGCATTTAAAATTGCAATAATTTTCGAACAAATCAGAATTTCGAAAAAATACTGTGGTTAAGTTTATCAACAAATATGGTCCTTAGCATGCCAAATTTCAACGTTGTAGTTGCATTGCTATCGCCTGTAAAGCGGCCGTATAATATTTTCCCAGATAAATCTAACAGTTAATAATTTTCGAACTATTTATCGAATGTTTTTCATTCTTCCATAGCATTTTTCTACTTACGTTTTTAATGTGAAGTTTCTAAGTCTTGTTAGTCTAAGAATTTTCTATGTTGCTAATCTTTTGAGCAGCAGGGCAAAATGTAACTTTAAGTTGAAGACCTAAGGCATCGACGGCTACTCTAACAATTTATTAAAATAGAGAGATATTATAGTATTCAAAGCAATTTTATAATATTTCCGTATTTTAAACCAATTTCTTTACGTATTGCGTAACGAGCCGTTGTGTCTCAGGGCCTTTCGCCTTCCAATGAGGTGAACCGGGCTCGAATCCTAGCGATGATTGGTTGATACGAATTCCGCCCCCGACTCGCACCGACCACAGTGCCGATGTAAAATATCCTCAGTGGTAGACGGATCATGGGTTACAGTTCCCTTGCCATCAGGCTGACAGTGAGAGGTTTTCGAGGTTTTCCTCTCTATGTAACGCAAATGCGGGTTAGTTCCATCAAAAAGTCCACCACGCAGGCAGATTTCGTCCAATACTTGATCCAGGAGTTCCCTTGTCTTCTGGATTGGGTTCAAAATAACAAGGCTACGGGATTTGAGCATTAAAAATCGTAAACCCAAAAATTGGGTGGGCTGTCCAATGACAATTACAATATATATTGCGTACCAGCCCTGAAAATCACCACTAGCCACTCGCTGCGTGGCGAGTGAACAAAAAAAAAAAAAGAGAAAAAAGTGGTGACTTAAATTCACAACCTGACACTTTTTCTCAACGTAATTTTTTTTTAAAATTGTTAAATGGTTTAAGTACATCAATGTAGAAAGAGACTCTGAAAAACAATTTTCATTAAAATGTCCAATGTCTTCATTCAAAATTTTGATCCTTCAGAATCCATCAAATTTGTGAAGGAAAGATTCATGTGGAAAGGAGAGTTCGTTAACAATTCCCATATTTCAGAGTTGTAATGTATACATTAAATATATTTTGCCTCCCCAAATATTTCAAAAAAATAATTCAACAACATAAATAAGATAAATATATGGCAAAATTTAGATAAACATACTGACTTTAACTTTTTTTTTAAAGTCTTTGCTTATTTCTAACGTGAATTTTTTAAAAAATATAATTTAATCCAAGAAAAATTTTTGTAAAAAGTGGCCATTATACAAAAGGGACCTATATATGTAAATATCGATCACTGACTCATTAGGTTTGAGGAAAAAGCGGCTACTGAGTCATAAGAGTCTACTGGCTACTAACTGAAAATTTAGTAAGAATTTAGTAATTTAGTTTAAATTTTCAGGTCAATTACGTAATATTTATTGTATGCTAAAGTGGAATGTGTAAAATCGAAGAATCGTGCGAAGGAAAAATATAACTTATCCAAAGTGCCATTTAATATGAAATAAGTGCAGTCTTTCTTTTCGGAATTAGCGATTTAGATTTTAGGAACTTTAATCTAAAGCAAATTACTACGTCCGTTTTCTGCTCGGTGAAATGGTCAGTGATTATTGTTAATTTATTTCTTTTTGTATGGAAATTGAGGTCACCAGAAACAAAAGGTGCGATTATAATGAAATAAGATTTTTCAGTGATCTGGAATTTGATTACAATTGATAGTTTTTGAATGAATTATTTTAGTTTTTTAGGTATGGTTTAAAGATTATAGAGAAGCTGTTTTTCGCTGCACCTGAAAGAATAATTATTTGAAATTAGGACAGTCCTCAATAAAGTGTTGCACGATTTTTAAGACTTAAATAAAAATTATTTTTTTCTTTTGATAAAAATGTAAAACATTTATCAAAATTTTTTTTAACTGATAAAAAATGTGTAATGTTTCTCAAGGGAACGCAAGTCTTTTAAAGTGAAAGTTTTATGATTATTTTTATATTTAAATTGATATGGAAAGTTTTGAGTGCAATCATAAATTGTTTGGCTTGATTTTCAAATATAATCCAATTTAAAAGAAATTCTATTGAGAGCTCCTGCGAAATTGTATGAAAATATGTGAAAGTGAAAAAAAATATAAAAATGTTTCTTCGAATTTGAAATATCTGCAAATTATCTTCAATTTTTATCAACATTTTGAAACAAAATACATATATGCAGAATACATATCTATATACAAAATAAACCTACAGCAGAAATGTTTTAGTGAAATTATAAATGCTTCGCAAAATACATATCTACATACAGAATACATACCAATAACAGAATACATATCTGCATAAGGAAATTTCTTAGAGAAATTATAAATTGTTTGGCTTATTTTTGAATTATAATACAATTTAAAAGAATTTCTATTGATAATTCTTGCGAAATTGTATGATTATATGCAGTAGTGACAAAAAATATAAACATTTTTTCTTTGGAACTCAAATGTCAACAGATTATCTTAAAATTTTATCACTATTCTAAAACAGAATGCATACTACAAAATACACATATAGAGAATACATATCTACCATATTTACATACGGAATACATACCTACAACAGAATACATATCTGCATAAGGAAATTTCTTAGAGAAATTATAAATTGTTTGGCTTATTTTTAAATTATAATACAATTTAAAAGAATTTCTATTGATAATTCTTGCGAAATCGTATGATTATATGCAGTAGTGACAAAAAAATATAAACATTTTTCTTTGGAACTCAAATGTCAACAGATTATCTTAAAATTTTATCACTATTCTAAAGCAGAATACATACTACAAAATACACAAATAGAGAATACATATCTACCATATTTACATACGGAATACATACCTACAACAGAATACATATCTGCATACAGAAATTTTTCAGTGAAATTCTAAATTGTTTGGCTTAATTTTGGATTAAAATCCAATTAAAAAAATTTCTATTGATAATTCTTGTAAAATTTTATAAAAATATGCGAAAGTAACAAAAAATAGAAAATTTTTTCCACGTATCTCAAACGTCAATAGCTTACCTTCAAATTTTATCTACCTGTATAAACAGGATTATAAGTGGAAACGTTTTGTTTTTATTAACTGTGGAGAAAAATAAGATGTTCCACTTTTTTGATGCATTTTTTTTTCGAGAAATAACGCATCAAAAAAGCGGAATGAAAGTTAGGTGAATTCGTTACACTGAAGCCACTACAAAAATTTTTAAATGACACTTTCAGCTATATAATCCTTATAATAATGAAAAATAAGGGGCAAAAAAAAAAATAAAATAGAAAAAAAAAGTCTTTAATAAGAATGGATGAGTTACCTGACTTAAACTTTTTGGAGCTGTCTCTGGCACTGACGTTTGCAAACAGCCAAAAAAGCCAAAAGAGTGTAGATATTTCATCCTTCTCTTTTTGTTATAAGCAGACGAGTTTGTTTTGATTTTAAATATTTTGAAAACAAATTTTTTAATACAAAATATTAACCAACACTACAGATTGTCTTTTTTATTATAACTTTTTCGTTAAAATAAATATTCACTTGAAATATACATTCAGAGACTGATTGGCGCATTTTAAACAGAACGATCAAACCAGATGTAGTAAAAATGCTTCCGAAGATTCTTAAAATCATGAATGGTATTTTATTCTTCTTTAAGATTTAATCTTTTTTTGTTTTAATTTTTTTCTGACAGATTTATTTAAAATACTGTTAATAAAATCAATATTAAAAAAAGAATAATGACGTCGTTGATGAAACTATGAACAGGATCTTTCGAATAGTCAACTGTTTAACTATTGTTGACTTTATAGAAGTTGAAGGAATCTTTTGGAGCCTGTAATCGTAGGGAAATCGTGGCATTTGTTAATTCAGAAGCTAATCAGGTTCGACTCACACGCTTACGTCGCTTACAGGTATCCATTAGAATCTGAATTAAATCAAGTGGCTATGCATAATCGCTTTACAACTTTTTGAATTGCGAGTACAACTGGTTGCTGCGGGAGTGCGTTGCTTTTTTTTAATTTTTTTTTACACACTTTATTATGGGATTCCTATTCTATCCATAGTGTTACAACATTATTGTGTAAAAGCTCGATATAACGAGTAGGGCATGGAAGTTCGTTATTACGACCAATTTCCATGTCCCTTTCAATGCTAATATTAAAGATGCAAAATTGCATGTTTATAACTAGTTAAAAATTGCTAGCTTTTCATTAATGCGACAAATTATTTCCAGGGAAATGAATTTCTATGCTGATTCAATAAGCAAGATTACACGAAAAAAAAGGGCTAAATGTAAAACACATTTATATCTGATATGGGCATAAAAATTTGAAAAATTTGCAACATTCCATCTTATTTCTTTTTTACCTATTTAACCTTTTATGTTCATGAAACAAATATGTGTGGGCAACCACCAGGCAAGTTATCTTCCTCTTTTGAAGAGAAAAGATTTCTGCTACGTTTATGGATTCTGCTGTACACAAGGATGTTCCTTTTATTGATTCATATCTAACATGCCTCCTTGTTTTCTTCTTTCTTGATAACTTACTATTGAAATGTTGTAAATGTATTGCTTGTTGTACAATGACTTGAGGTCGCTCCCTTAATGGCATTTATAGAACAATCCTCACCCATGGACACGACACCACCGATAACAAAGGGGACGAGGTAATTGTATCAATTTCATATTTTTTAAACATTAATTGTGTGTGTTTGTGTAACAAGCACTCTAATTCTGGTTATTTCTCTTTTTTTGACAACTCGTTATTATATTCTTCATTCGATGTTATCAGTTAAGTCAAAAGCTACTACATACTATTACACTCGAACTGATATTTTTGTATTAAATATGCATGCTTGCTTATAACGACAAGTTCGTTAAAACGATAATTACATCGGTTATTGTAATTCGTCGCTATAATGGGCTTTTACCGTAGTTTGTTCCATTTCAGGCTTTCAGATCTCTTAAAAGAAGAAGAGGCCGAGTATCTAATAGAAGAAAGTACTTCATTCCATGAAGATCCAGGGGAGAAACAACAGAGAATGCTGGACAGGTACTGTGAGTTAAAAACGCAAAAAGAGAGGAAGAGACAACAAATTGTACTTGAAAAGAAGGAACAGCAGTTTAAGTAAGTAACTTTATAGGGCGTCCCAAAACATGTCTTTAAACAATAATTTTATTACATTACTTTTTGTAATTTTCTATATATAGTAATTAAAATATATTTGATTCACTTCAGTTTTCGTAATAGCATACTCTTTTTAGCAATAACTTAACTCGCGAAAAACCAGAAAGTGGTCAAGAAATTTTTTTTCAAATAATTATAACTGTCTAATTTTTCAATAGATAAATCAGCACAATACACATCCTCGCATCTTTGGTCACCCGATATCAAGATTACATATCCATAACCATAAGCGTGCAGCCCAAGGCCTTCAATTCAAAGATTTCTATCTATGGGGAGTTGATTTGTGTCTTATTATATTTCCCCGAAACTTTCAATTCTGCAAATCTTTTCATGTCGTACCTGAGATTAAAAACCGAGATTTTATTACTCATTGGCAAAATGGGCGTTGTTTTGGGGTTTGATGGCGTGCGCATCTTATTTGGACGTCATCACACTTTTTCACTGTGTTCAAGAGTAATAGTAAACAGTGCGCATGCGTCGTCATTGCATGCCTTGCTATGGCGACCGCTGCCGTTTGACAATTTTTTTTAGGAATTCTTTTATTCACTTTTAATTTCATTATGCATTAAGTTGGTGAGTTTATTTTTGAGATATGGGGCCAGAGAGATCCCATCAATACTTCTTGAGTTGTGAATAAAAAGAGAATTTAATCATTTGAACGGTATTTTTGTTTTTATTGTTTTAATTAAGAATCAGAAATTCTAACCTACAGTTCAAACTGGATCGTCTGCAATACTAATTCAGGTGAATATCACAAATAATAAGGGTCAAAAAAAAAATTCAACAACAACCATTTTTCCAAAGTATAACCTGCGATCGCCTTTCGGCGATCATAATTATTTATTTATTTTATTTTATTTCAATTAATACATATTTTCAATATTTATAGAGTATTAGTTTCAATAATATGGCAGTTTTTTACTGCTGCCAAAAATGAATAAGTATTTTTTCTTCAGTATTTTTTTAAAATTTGTTTCTTGACAGACTAAACTGCGACGAATTGCGGACTGAGCTGAGCAAGAAAATGCAACGGCAAGCAGTTGAGGATGGCAAGAGAATAATCCGGGAAAGACAAGCCGAGTCGGAACAAAAGATTCGAGAAGAGGAACTCTACGAGCAACTATTGAGGATGGATTGCGAGGCAAAGAGGCAGAAAGAAGAAAAAGAAGAAGAAGAAAGAAAAAAGACAGACATCGCATATAGCAGATACATTGAAGATCAGAGGGAAGCTATGAAATCAAAAAAATTGAGGAGATTGAGAGAAAAAGAGGAAGAGGCTGAAATTATGGTATGCACTCAATATACCGTATGCTCAATCTATCCCCAAAACGGTAGACGATTTGAAAACTCTAATAAAGAAAAATTAGACGTGATGGATCAAAGTTTAAAGGCACTGGCGCGGATACTTAGTAGTAACTGTAGTGAATTTAAAAAAAATTCTAGTTGAGAATATAATTATTAAATCGCAAAAAAGTTGCTTTTTTGTAAAGAGAAATCGATTGTAGATTTGAAATCAGCTACGCTAAGATATCTAAGTTCCGTTCAAATCTCTCATGCAACGGGAAAAAAAATTTTCTAAGTGCTATTTATTTTTAATTAAATCGAAAGGATTTTCAACTTCAAGAAAAAAAAGAATATTAATTATCTTTCAAATGGTGGGAAGAATATCCTTTAATTCCATTTTAAGTTGAAATGAAACGCAAAATAAGATTTTATTTCGATTTAAAGTGATAATGAAGTTTAGAATGCTTTCCCTCCTAATTTTGAGACGAATATGCATTAAATTTAAAAGATAAACCGCAGGGTATTGGGAATATGTGTATATTTTTGATAAGCTTATTTGAGCCAAGAACTTGAAAAAGAAATTAGATTTTGACACATTAAATAAATATACTTTTCAGTTGTTTAAATACTTCAACTTATTTTAAATGCTCTTGCCTAAAAATGTTGAAAAAAAGTATGGTACCATTATTAAATGGTTCAGCCACAGAAAGTATTTAAATGGAAACAGGTATTAAAAAAAAATGCGCAACGGACGCAAGAATGCAAAGCAATCTACGTGCAGCTTTGGAAGTTAAATTTCTAAGATCAGAGACAGAGGATTGTTCCATTTCTTTTGGCAGGTGGAGAAAGAAAGTTGTTTTTTAAGGTTAAAGTCCATTCTGAATTGTCCGATCTTCTCTACACTAATGCTTTTTAAAGCTATAAGGCCATTGCCCGGTGTTTACTACACTGATGTTTTGAAAGTGAAAGGCATGATCAGGTACAATCTGCACTGATGTTTTTTTTTTTAAGTGAAAGGCCCTTGCCGGTATTCTCTATACTGATTTTTTAATGGTCATTGTCCGGTATTCTATACACTGACTGTTTTTTAAAGGCCACTGTCCGATATTCTCTACACTGACTGCTTCTTAAAGGCCACAGGCCGGTGTTCTCTACACAGATGTTTTTTAAAGACAAAATACCATTGCCCGGCATTCCCTATAATGCCAACTCGAAGCGTTGAAATGTTTTTAATTGAATTTGTTATTTATAAAAGTTTTATATAGTTTTCTATTTTCAAATTCTGGTATCGAAAATAAATTATTTCTGCTGAATGTTTTTCAGTGAAAATGTAGGCATGTTTTTCTCTCCCTTCAGAAGATTAGGAACAATCTCCTACAATAAGGAGGAACTCGTTGTTTTATAATCATGCTCAGTGATGGAAATACAAAGGAGAATTACTATAGCCAATAATTATTTTTATGGAATTCGAAAATACATAAAATCTAATGTAATTCATAGAAAAACAAAAGTTTTATTATATAAATCTCTTTTAAGATCAATTTTAACACATGCTTGAGAAACCTGTACAGATGAGGTTATGTTAGGTACCTTTTAGAGAAAGGTATTGAGAAGTATTTTTGGAGGAATTAAAAAAAAAATGGCGTGTGGTTTGGAAGAACAAATCTAAAGCTTTATCACTCATATAATGAACATGGCATTATTAACTTTATTAAATGACAAAGAATAAAATGAGCCGGCCACTTTATTAGAATGGATGAAGACAGTACCGCAAAAAGAGTTTTCAATGCCAGACCAGTTGGCACACGGAAAAGAGGCAGGCCGAATTTGAGATGGATAGATGGCCCAGAGAAAGACCTTTTGGTCTTAAAAACTAAAAACTGGAAAACACTATCCGGAAAACGGTTAGCCTAGAGAAAACTTCTCGAGAAGGCCAAGGATGATTGATGATGATGAATCATGCTCATTGAACCCTGTTTATACAAATTAAGACAATATAAGAAACTAGGTAATCAAATTGGTTTTGATTTTTTTCATCTCGCCCTTCTCATTAGTGAGTCGAATGATTTTAACACCGTTCTTGTGTCTTCGTTTTTTAAACATTGATTAGATATTACTACTGTGTATACTTTTTTTTATACCTCATTTTTGATTAGGAGTTTTGGAAATACGCTTTAATTGTAGCGTAATATTTTGTTTTTAACGTTTCAGGCTGAACAAAAGAGACTCATGGAATTGGAAGAATTGTGTGAAAGAGAGAAAAATAAAAGGAAACAAGAAGAAATGAGGAGGAACTTAGACAGCTGTTTGAGGGAGAAGTTAAAGAAGAAATCAAAAGAAGTGCAAGACGATCTGCTTCAAGATCTCTTCTTCATCATGGATGAATCATGGATGGATGTACAAATCATGGATGACAAAGACGAAAAAGAAAGAAATGCAAAGAAAGTAAGAGTGCACGATCAGTTAGACTGTTTCTTAGTATTGTTTCCATGTATAAATTTTAGTTATCAGATTTTCAACGAGGCACTCAGATTTTCAATTAACACGCATACTTTTAATTAAAAAACAAATTTACTACTGCTTTAATTATTTACCTTCAAATATCTGCTCTTCTTGAAAAAGAAAGAAAAAAAAACATAAAAAATTAAATTTTCAATTCAGTATTATTGAAAAAAAGAAAGAGAGAGAAGGTTAACATTTACGGGGAGGGACGATAGGTTAGAAAAAGTTAGGATCACTGGTCTACAGTTTGTCTACGGTAAGAACGCCCTCCGCTTCAAAGTCTGTGGCCGTCTGCTGCTATGGAAACAAGAATAGCACATTTTAGGGAGGGTAGCCTTCTCTTACTCTAGGGCTGATACAATAGATCGAAGAAAAAGATTTCTTTTCTCACGCCGACCCAAGACAAAACCTGTCCTAAAAAATGACCCCACACCCCTACTTGAAATAGTTACACCTCGTTACCATAGTCACGACTACGGGTTCAGATGAATGGCTAGGGGAGTTCTCACTTTAGAAAAACTATACATGGTAATAGTTTTTTTTTCCCGTCAAAAACGCTCTCCTCCATTAATGTGATTTATTATTATGTTGTCCGAAGACATTCTTTTGTTAAATAAATATTCAATTTAACTGAATATTTATTTATTATCAGAATGTTTTTAGAACAATACTGGTTATTTTTAAATAAATATTCAGTGTTTGCAAAATATAAAGATCCATTAGTTTCAAATTTTTTGTAAATAAAATTTCCTAAAGTAAACCGGGAGTCCCTAAAATGACCGATATTTTGAAAGAAAAGGAGATAGAAATACACGTGTTGCCTCATTCTGTTTGGAAAACCAGTTTAATATTATTCAATTTCAAAATTAGTTCCGAAATGTATCAAAAGATGGCACTGCTGACTTGAAAAATTATAACACTATGACGTCTGCTGTATGTCAAACTGTTCTAATTGAAATTTTTGCACAGGCGGTAAAGAATTTTGTCCTCATACTGCACCACATTGTTGCTACAAATGATGGTTATTATGAAAACAGTTTTCAATAGTTAGTATCTGTTAGCAACACCATCTGGTGACGAATAATTTTAAAACTTGATAAAAAGAAGTACGACGGTTTCCTTTGCTGAATGAAGCCAACGTCCATTTCCTTCATGTTCTATTTTTTTTCTATATTTGACACATTTTTGGTGAAAGACTGTCAACAAGTTTATATAAATCTGTGCAGAATTTAATACAGATCAACGTTTTGATACGGATTAACGCTTTTTTCTCCCTTCTCTTTCAGCGAGCTTTGATGAAAGAACAGCAGGAGTATTTGAAGTATTTGAAAGATCAAATGAAGAAGGAAGATGATTTCGAGAAAGAGATTGATAAGCTCTACCAAGATGAATTAGACGAAATCTGGAAAAAGAGGCAGAATGAGTGGGATGAAGAAAAGCAGAAACGAAGACAGCTGGAGCAAGACGTCATGAACGGCATAAAAGAACAAATTCAATCAAACAGTAAGTTTTTTTTAAAAAAACGTTTAATCTGTTTACTGTATCAAATACTATGTGTAATGTTTAATTTTGTCCTTAATAATAGGTTTTCCTTGGTAAAGATTAGGATATTTTTTCTTTTAATCTCTTAAGAGGCTTTTTCAGAAAGTAAACATACTATACCAATGGAAGCAAAGGAAAAGTTTACGAGAGTTTAATGGCAACACGGACTGTAACCTCGGATGTGTCATTTATTCCTTGAGGTCATACGTAATTTTTAGGGTAAATCTTGTTTGAGCAGCAAGTTTTTATAATGTCTGCAAGAGTCCCGTCAGATGTAAAGTACATTCCGTTCTTCATGCAAAAGGGTATGTTTGCAAAAGGTCGTGGAAAAGGTTTCAAAAAGGCATAAAATTTAAAATAAACGCAGGGACTTGCTGACAAGCTGAGTTTGTTTGTTGCATTACAATGCTCTCCTCACACAAAAGCTTCATTAGGAAAATTTTAAATCATCCGCCGTACAGTCCGGATCTTGCACTCATCGACTTTCCCTTATTCTTTTACCTGAAAAAACATCTTGTAGAGTAAAACTTTTACGACGATGATGAAATCATATATGAATTATGATTCCGAAAACATACGGCAAAGTTCTATGACGGAGGAATACAAAAGCTTGTACCCAGACATAAAATATGCTTTGACAATGACAGCAACTATGTCAAAAAATAAGACATGTACTAGTAAGTAATTTCGTAATGTACATTTAACCAGTTAAAATTTTTTCAAGTGAGTATGCAGCGTTGTATCTTTACTGTTCGAAAACGCCCAGTAGATACAAGCTAGGAGTCGTGAATTAATATTTAACTGTTTAAAATTCTGTGCCATTTGTACTTAAAACCGACTTCATTAATTTTTAAATATCGATGGTCAGCTATTTTTCCACCTATGGGTTTAGCTGCCATCTGTTGATTATTTTCGAAAGTAGAAAAAAATGAAGGGCTTTGTTTACACAAATGTGGGTAACAAGATAGGTCCGTGTAAGTTCAAGAAGGTAGGGAAGAAGGGGGGTATTTTCTCTTGTGCTTTAAGCGTTTGTTCATTCCTTGTCGATTCGATTTTCATGTCTTGTCGATTTTCATGCTCTGTTGCAAGTTAAGAAAAAACCATTATCCCGATGGAGAGAGTCTCTTTGCATCTAAGTACATGCCAAATGGATTAATGGATGAAACGACGTTGCACATACTTTTTTTTTGTTGCTTATTTTCTTACATTGTGCGAAATGTGGAAAGTAAAACTTATTGAATGATTAATTAACAAGTATTAAGAGTTAATAAAAATGATATCTAAAAGTCGTAACAAGTATATACGTCCTTCGGTTTGCATTAAAAGAAAATGATGAAAGAATAATAAATTCTGTGCCTTGCAGACGATTTTCTTTTATAGCGAAACAAAAGTAAAAATTCTCTATCTCGCATTTGATTCGTTCAGGGTATATGATGTGCAATTTTTAGTGGACCAATCAAATCCAATGCTTTTGCAACGCTATATTGTTGTTTCTTTTTCAAGAACGAATGCTCTCCATATTTATCGAAATATGTCGCCAATTCTAGGACTCTAGTCAGATTACGGAACTATAACCTTTTTTTTTCCTTCAATATTTCTATGATATATATCGTAAAAGATAGCATGAATCAAATTTCTGTCTGACGTGTTTAATTTTTAAGAGCTTTTATATTGCTTTGAAGGCATATTAAAATCTTAGCATATTTGTATAATTTGATAGCGAAATAAAACGGAATTATATGCAGTCGTGGTTGATTAATTAAATCCTATACCGTAATGGTATTTTCTTAACTTGGAATGGAGTTGAGTTATAAACACATAATTTATAAATTCGGTTTATAAGCACAGAAGCTTAAGTTGAAGACCAGCTGCAGTACACAAAATCCAGTTACAATATGCAAAATTGTAAACCTTCCTTTCTAAACCCACCTTGCTATCTAAAAGTGATCCTAAAAATCGAATTTCTTTTTATAAATCAATATTAATCCCAAAAATACTTTAACATAGCATTACTAGAAAAAAAATGACCTAATAAAGGAAGCTAGGAAAATAAAAAGGCTACCAAAATATGACGAATCATTATTGAGATAAGCAGATATTGACATCAAAATTGAAGGAATTATAATATTGTTATTGATTAGGCTGTGGATAAAAGAATATTACTTTAATAAAAGCGAAACCTTACTCTTCGAGATTTTAGTTTTATCAGCTGAATAATTGCGTCAAAATATGTTCACAAGTTTATTAAATAGTACACCTATATATATGTATTTTTTCACATTGAAATATCATATATTTAATTCTGTTTGTCCAATTTTTCCCCATTTGAAATAAATGAATAAATCCAATCTTTTCAAACAGTCTTATCCCCAGAAACTATTTCATTTTTTTTATTTACAGTTGAAAAAAGTAAACAAGTTTTTCATTTGAACGAATCATACGCTCAGTTGGTTATGAAAGAAGTTGAAGAAGATAAAAAGAGAAATGCCGAGAAACTGAAATTAATTAGAGAACGAAATGAAAGACATCAAAATGAGCTCCTAGTAAGTTTATTTCGTAAGAACAGTTCTCTTTTTTAGTTCTTTTTCTTCGCATGAATTCGAGAATAACAAACTGTTGTTTGAGACAAAAATTGAGGGAGAAGGATTAAATTAAAGAATTTAAACAGAAATATCGAATAATTTTTATTAGACAAATATAAGTTTTTTTTTGTCGAGTTATTTTTTACCTCCCATGTGTGACTGATGATGTTTTTGTTGTAATCCAATAACAATTGCATTTTTCTTTTTTACTGGAGCCAAAGATTTAAGGGAATTTAAAGAATTCGTTTTACAACTTAAAGTTCCTAAGATTTTAGAAAGAGTTTTGTTTATATTTTATAGTTATTATTAATAATTCTACTTCAGTAGTTCAGATTTGAGTTAATGTTTTTTAGTCTTTTAATGCACGTTGAAAACTTTATATGACAAAAGGAAGATTAAGCTGTCGTTGTAGAATATATTAGTATGCTAATTTTGCTTTGTGTTTAAAACTGATGGTAAAACGAATGCTTTTTGTATTAAGCCTCAAATTAGCGACTTAAGGTGGTAAATGGATTATTAAACAATTCAAAAATAGTCAGGTTTTTTTAAATCTCTAAAGAAAAATATTAAAATTTCCATATTTTAATTGAGTGATGTAGGAAAATTAAGTGGTGAAAAAGAAAATTTGGTTTGTTTTATGAAATAATGGAATATTATTGAAGAGTAATAATCAAGCTTTATTAATTGCGCATAAGCAATAAGTACACAAAACATTAAACTTGGTTTTTCGAAGCTATGTCGCCAAGGAAATTAAAAATCTCACAGTTTACACATGTGGCAAAATGATGATTTTAAACTATCTGTATAAACTTGTCATGAAAAATTACCTGGGCTTTAGAACAGATGGATAACTTAAATATTTCAAAAGTTATTAAAAAAAATTTTAAAAAATCGCCAATTTGGCGACATTTTCCACATAGCTGAAAATTATCAAAATCACTGCCTTATTCTCATTCTTTGCAAATTTTTATAAACCCAGATAGTATAGCATCGGAATAAACTTTTAAATATTAATAAATTAGGACACAATCGCTTCTCATTTCCACTAAACTGTGGCTTTTCTTCATATTGACGTTTTGCGCCACTTTCAGAAAAAGCTCAAGAAGTGCTAGCCTCAGATTGGCGAAACTTGTCCTAACAGTCTTGAGTAACTTTTGTCAACTCACTGCATTTATGAAAAAAGCTTAGTCTTTGCAACAAAGCATCATTTCATATGATGGCGAGGCCTTCGAGAAACAACTTTCATGCAAGGCAACAACACAAAGAAGGCAAGAAAAGAACACAGGAAACAAAAAAGACTAAAAGAAAAAACAAAACGAAAAAATTAATAAAAAATGAAAAAAATAAATAAAAAATTAAGAATCTTAAAAAAATAATAAAATAAGTTTTAAAAATTAAATGCATGGAAGATTCTGTTTTCAAGTTTTCCAATCCCGCGTTTATGCAAAGAAAGCGATTTTCTATGGTCTTTTTTGCTGACTATTTGTCACCATACGCACTTACTTGTACGCATTTCTTCCAACCCAAAAATGCTCAAATCGAGTCACTTACTTCTATCATCCATTCCTAGTGCACTTTAGCATCCAAATAGAGTCTCGGTGCTGCCATCTAGTGTGGCAGAAACTAGACGTCCAAATTAACATGACCAACGGTATCTCACCCATTGTGGTGGTCCTGAAAGAGTGGATACCACCTCTGGTGAACGCACTAGGTCTGCTCATTGGCAAGACCGATTGTGCAGCTCATTGGAAATAAAAAAAATAAAAAAACTTCTATCATCCATTGAGATCTTCGGAATCTAATAGCTTTATCATAAATGAATGTTATAGAATATAATGACTAAAATTAGAACTTTTCCTGAAAAATCTCATTTTTTTTAAAAAAAAATGTCGATTACATGCTTCATCCATTTTCAAAAGTAATTTTTTTTAAATTCTCATTTTTTTTTAATTAAATTTTTTAATTGTTTTATTCACTATTCTTTTTTGTGTCCTGTATTCTTCTTTTTATCTTTATGACGTTATGTTTACCTCCTCGGAATAAATTTCTTTGCCGAAGCTCGATTGTGAACGAGAAACCTTTTAAGGGCTCTCCGTAAATGAAGTCAGACTTTTTTTCAGGTATTTTTACCTTTCTTTGCCACAAAAGATCACACTTTTACCATACTTCGACCTCTTTTCTTATAAATGTCATGATGCACGACGTAAATAACACTTGTAATATAGAAAGAAAGTACGGTGTTTTGGACTGCATTTCAAATGTTATTTTTTACTTTATGAGTTTTAATGGCATATGTGAACATGGAAACAATTATAAATGCACATAATTTGCATGGAATAGGGAACACTAGGAACAATAAAGTGTAATTTTTAATCTATCATTTTCATATTTTGACAGAAAATTAGTAGCATTGATAGAAGTGTGCACACAATGTTTTAGAAATAAAGTAATAATTAGTTTTAAAGTTACATAGCTAAAAGTATTCGTTTTTAAATGTTGATTAAAAATTCAAAAAGCTCCTTGAGTACGAATTTTAAATTTTCTAATAAAATATTTACACAAATACGTTGTTTATAAGTATTTAAATAAATTTAAGTGATTATGGTAACCATGTAAAAATAAAACGTACCTGGTTATTAAATGTTTATTTTGTTATAAATTTTTTTCTTCAAAAAACAAGCTTCAATTATGTTTGATTAATTATTAAAAAAATGAATTAAAAAATTGAATTAATCAAATGTATTTAAAGTTAAACAAGACAGAATTTTTTTTATAAAATAAAAACTGGTGCGCAAGGAACTTCTTCGAGTTGTGAGAACATTAAAAAAATTCCTTTACGAGAATAAGCAACTTTGTCGATGAGAATATTGATGTATGGGCCTTTACAAATTCACAATCTTATAACTCGGTAAGAAAAACTGCGATTTAAGCACTTTTTGTTGCACATTACTTAATAAAGTGTGATTTTTTTCAATATCTCAAAAACCAAATAATGGATTTTTTTAAAGGATTTTTCTCATTCTGAACGTCTAATATCCCCCCCCCCCACAAGGTATACATCTGTATCATTTTTTTTTAAATGTGCGGTTTCACCCTTCTTGTTATCCTCTACCTTGTCACCATGAAAATTACACCCCTGTCACACGATATTATTTGTAGACGACCCCAAAAGTAATTTTATTTAAGAAAATTTGAAAAAAATATGCATATGCCGTACGTTAGTTAAAAAATTCGGATCTTTATAAACAGTCACTATAATTTCACTTGCTAGGCTAATTAAAAAAGTCTTCGGTAATTTCCGCCCAGTCTAACATATTATTTCAGGCTTATAAAAATCAGCCTATATGCCTTTAGGCTGATTCAAACATTTGCTTTATCAGCTTGACAGTACAGCTAATAGGTAGTTAAACAGTTTTATGATTAGTTAACTAGGTAGTTCTATAAATAGGTAAGCAATGATAATTAGGTAGTTAAATAGTTATGTTTTCGAATTAACCTAAATTTATTTGGGTTCATTACAAACGGCCGAAAGTAAACCAGGATAAATTTTTAATTGCGTGTATCTGGTCTCACTACATTTACAGAGTTGCCAACTGCTCCGGACACGCCAAAATAATTAAAAAAATGGTAAATAACTACAAAGTAAATTTTGCAAATATTTGACAATGTTTGCTTGCTTTTTAAAAGATATAGCATGACAAAAAAGTACTTAAAAGTGGTGAATTATATAAGCCTACGAATTATTTAAAAATAGTGGTGGATAAAAATCTGCTAAATTGAACTTATTAAACCAAGAATCACAATTGCTAAACTACCACTTTAAAATATATATTTGCAGTCCGGAGCAAGTTGGCATCTATGCATTTAACCTAAAAGTGTTAGACTGATTAAAAAGTATAGGAAATTTATCTAATAAACCTGGCCTATTGTGAAACAAGGACAACGATTGCGAAGAGTCCAATTTTTCCAATTGACCAAACAAGTGTCTTTTTTTATGTATTTTTTCTTTCAGAATCAAATCCGAGAAAAACAAGAACGATTAAAAGAAGAGAAGAGGTTGATTGATATGGAATTGGAAGTGGCTCGTTGCGAAAGAGAAGATGAAGAGACCAAGATTCAAAAATTGCTTTCAGACATGAAGATAGATCATGAACATCCATATCGAATGAGCAGGAAAGGGCACAATGATGCAAATAACTGTTGTAGTGTCTGTAATAATCGCAATGACTGTAATTGTTTCAGTGCATGTAATTGTTGCAGTGTCTGTAAATAAGATGATAAAAAATCTCTAATAAGTGAACTGATTAATATAATCTAAAATTTTAAATTAGTAACTTATCATCTGTCCTAAAAATAACCGATTATGGGAGAAGCCAACCAAGGATAAACGGCAGAAATGGAAGTGTCCGGTTTTCTGCATCACGCTTTGGAAACCAGCTATTTATTTCTATCAAAATATAAAATTAATTGCAAAGTTCGTCTTCAGATGGTGCCACTAAGTGACAAATACTGAAAGAGATTTGAAACTAATCACCGTTTGCAGTAACAGCGTGATGGTGTTGCCTGAAAACAAAATCAACAAAAAGTCCGTGAAATTATCTTAGTTGGCTTGATCTGACAAGCAACAAAAACATTGTTTTTTTCTCAATATGCAGCACCATCTATTAACGAACTTTGTAACTGATTTTAAAATTTAGAATAAAATTAACTTATTTCCTCAGCAAATTTACATTTCAAACAAACTAACATTTTTCATAAATTTATTTTTAAGAACGTCTAATTTCATTTTTATTACCCTCAGTAGTTTACAGGGTTCACACGGTGTTTAAAAAAGTTAAAAAATGCAGTGCCTTTTTCATTGTTGCAATTTTACTGTTAATAGCTTTAACTTTTAAATTAATATATCAAAGCTGAAAATTTGCATCAATTTTCATGCACTTGGAGTTATTATATAGTGGTGATAACGAATGTTCTAATATAATTACATTTTGATACCACTTTTAAATTCTTTAACACACAGTAAGAACTTTGAATTTGGAAATATTAGTTATTTAACAATATGATCAAAGTTTTGAAAAAAACCAATAAAAAAAACATAAAAAGACGAAGAGCGAGATTTAACAGTACGGTTTGCTGCGTTCTGCTAAAGAAACTAGATGTTTGTTTTTGCAGGATACAAAGTAGACAAAACATGGGACTGCTTTTTTCAAAAAAATAATAAAACAATATTTTTACAAGTTAATATTTCAACAAGTTAAGTTTAACTGATCCTGTGAGGAGTAAATAATTAGACCTCTAAGCAGAATGCAGCAAACTATCTCCCCCAGGTTTTTTTCTTTAAATTCGATATCAAAATATATTTTGGTACATTAACATTTTTCTCGTGAACGCCATGGTCATTCTCTGGTTATTACATGTTTAGCTCCTTGTGACGTTGCGGTTAGTGAGAAAGGAGGCACATCTTGTGATGGTCAGATAGAATGATTCTCTTGGGGAACTTTATGAGTAATTTGGAATGAATCAAAGCAAAGAACTGTTTAAGACGCAAGGACAAGTTATGTACAGTTGATTTACAAAAGAATATAAAAATGTTTTATTGTATAATGAGCGTATTACACACAAGATATGTACATGGAATGATTAGAGGAAAAAGAAAAAAAATATGATATTTCTTTTGAGGATATGGCATCAAGTGAGAACTTTCATCATGCAGACCATCATTTTCGCCCTAGCTTTCCTGTTCACTTTCTAAAAGTAGAAATAAAGAGTCAATGATTATCCTATAGTCTGTTTATCTAAAAAAAATTCTCCTCGCCAGCTGTCTGGAACACAGTCGGTAAGTATAGTTACAAGGTTGAATTATTTCAAATAGGACTGTGGAGCAAACATTTAGGGCAAATATTGGCTGGAGTTAAACAAAGAAAAATATCAAAAGTTTTCCTTCATAAAATGTGTTCTTTCTACACTCATGTCCATAAATTAAGGATAATGAAGTTCAGGCACAGAAAGAGACAGAACCCAAACAAATTTGACTTATTTGTAAAGTCTATGTGTTAAACAAAAGGTAAGGAGCAAAAAAGATGCTATATGTTTGACATAATTAATAAAAATTGCGATTTTTACTGCCTGGAACAAATTTCAAAAAAGAACCTATTTACAAAAAACAGTATAACATGGTTAGTATGATGGTTAATACGGAGTATGTCTCCCGGACGATGCAATACAGGTCGTACAACGCCTACGCATGCTGAGTATCAAATTATCAATCTGATCCTGGGGAATATTACACCACTCATCCGAAAGTCCAGTAGACAGGTGGTAGGGGGTTGACGGCCAGCAATTCGTCGGCCAAGCATATCCCACACATGCTCTATTGGATTCAAGTCCGGTGAGTATGCTGACCAATCCATACGGGTGATATCCTCCGATTGAAGACATTCGTCTACAATGTTTGGAATGTGAAGACGGGCGTTGCCGTCCATAAACAGAAATTCAGCACCCATGGCGCCCTGAATCAAACGTACATGTTGTTCCAGAATGACATCCCTATAGATGTGGCATGTAATCGTTACACTATGAACATGCAGGTCAGTTGTGGAACCAAGAATAATTCCTCCCCAAACGAGCCATCCTGCACCACCGTAACGGTGTCGTTCAATGGTGTTGTCTTGGTGGTAACGGGTACCCGGCGCTCTCCATATGAAAGTCCGGCGAGAATCAGACTGCAAACTAAACCTGGACTCGTCGGAAAACATCACACATGACCACTGTTGCGGTGTCCACAATGCATGCTCTCTACTTCAGTCAGTGAGTTGCGGTAAGTGGAACACATCTGACAGGCCTACGAGCATGTAGACCAATGTGACCTAAGTCTGCTTAGTCTGCAATGTGACACGGTCTGCTTAGAAAACGGTCGTACCGGTAGCTGAAGAGAGCTGACGAGACAGGTCTGATGCTATGCTCCGTCTGTTTCTTTTGGTAGTAACTGCCAAATACCGGTCTTCATTTGGCGTTGTAACTCGGGGGTGACCTGTGCTGTAACGTCTACTCACATTACCATCATCTTGGAATTGTTGCCAAAGCCTGGAGATGACACTCTGGGTGATTCCTCGTTCCTCGGATACTTCCAGCTGGGTACGTCCACATTCCAGTCGTCCGATGATTCTGCCACGTAAAAAATCATCCAAATGCTTCCTTTGTGCCATAACTATGCGGTTATTGCACTGAAAGGCTTTTAAAGCGCTTGTGAACAATGTTATTTCTTTGCCACCATTCCTTATATACCCCTCTCTTACACTCTCGTTATTGTGACGTACTACCAGCGTCATCTAGTGATTTCCTGCAATTTGAATATTCTTCTTAAGGATGTGTGTGATAATTCTACAGGTGAAATTTTAATTTTAGAGTTTGATTTCCGTGTGATTCTGAATTATCCTTAATTTATGGACATGAGTGTAGTTGCTTCCATAGCAGAAAACAACTGCAAAGTCTGTTAGGGGAGGAGTTCTCTAGATCGACAGACTATACGGCAATTATGGTTATTATTTTATAATTGAAGGTTTAAATATATGATAATGAAAAGCAAAACCTGAAAATTTTTAAAAGGAGTATATTATATTTGAAATTGTTAATGGATGGATAAAACTTAAAATCAATTTTCAACTTAATTACCAAGAGTTTTAACAATTTATTTGATATTTTACTCATTATCGGGCATCTTCTACCAAATTTGAGAAAGGCTGCAGTCCAAATTAATTGCCAAATTTGAAAAGCTCTGTCCAAATGAAAAAAAAACAGAATCAAGAGTGCTTTTAAATTTAGTATTAAATTCCTTGAAAAATAATTTATAAATTTACTGCCTATTCCCTGCAAATTAGATTACAGTTTTACTACGGATTACCTGTGAAGTAAAACTAAGTATCACTCTAATTACTGCCGATCTATGCGAATTATGTTACTTGTTTCAGAAATTTAGGTTCCAATTTTTAAGTAATACAAGAAAATTTTAAAGAAAAATGTGAATAATTGTAGGTTAACCCCTTTCTTTGCCAATTAGAAACTTATTTCTAAATTTTTACTTTTCCAAAATTGTTAAATTATTTACTTATTACCAAACTTACTACTACGCATTTCCTACCAAAATAATTAATTAATTCTCAGTTAATTAAATCATAAATTTCTTTACCCATTTCTTTTTAATTAAACTGGCAAATTAAAACTTTCAATTTTGAAAGAGCTTGCTTAACTACATAACGTTTAAACATGTAGTGGTTGTAATGATAATAGTTTGCATCTTAAAGATGACGGCTCGATTTCTTTATATTTTGCAAGAATAATAAAAATATAATAAATATTTAAAATGCAACGATACCACTGTTTTAAAATAACAATAATAAAAAAAATTTAAATTTCATTAGTTTTTATTGATATTTATTACCAATATCCACGACAAAAAATAAATGTTTTATTGACAAAAAATAAAATTTATATATTTTTCCAAGTACTAAAATAAAAGCTAATACAGAAATTAAAACTTAAAAGTTAAATTTAATTATTAATTTGAAATTTCTTGTAATAACTTACTTTCCCTGATTTCTTCATGCAGTCTTCAACCTATAGAAATAAAAAAAAAACATTTACCAAATTGTATATTTCATAATGCAAATACAAAATAGTAATCAAAATAACTTTTATATTCAGGGTTTTTCATCTGTTTGCTTCTCTTACTAAACCCAATTATTGTGTCTCAATCATTTTTGTTTTTATTAAATAAATCGCAGCACCAATATCAAAAACTAATCATTAAAAATATGACAAACCTTTTTTTATCTAATAATTCATATTTGGGTCCACAAAATTCCACGATTCATTTACGGAAAAAAAATTAAGCTCTCATATTGCTCGATTACAGTCACAACTTCATGTCCAAACGTGTTTTTGAAATTCGTATTTCATTTTGGGTTATTATAAAGTGTAGTTTAAAGTTTTTTTTTCCCGATGGTTCGTAAATTTAGGTCTTAATATTGATTTAGCATTTTAAATAGTTATTCTATATTCATTATTTTTATAGTATACGTTGTCTAAGCACAGTTTTAGATAAATTTGAACATAAAAGTAAATATAACTTTTTTAATAGGAAATTCGACTTCTTAACGTTTAGTAATTTTATAATAACCGCATTACGCACCGATTGGTTTCACTTCACTTTCTTTCTCAGATGAGATTCATAGATCAGACGCTGGATGGGCTGCAAGCCACAAAAGAGGTTCGAGCCCCAGTTCTTCACTATGACAGATCAGTGCCTTAATCACTGAGTACTCACAGCTCAAAAATATAATTCATAAATACTTTTAAATAATGCATAAATACTTATAGGCATTTTATATATCAAATTATATCAAATATTTATAGGCATTTATCGTTATAACTTTTATTAATTTTGTACTAATGATAGTTAACCTTTTCGGGACGTGCGAGTCATAAATGTATTCGTACGAAATCAGAATGGAAAAAAACGAACGGTAGCTTAAGTTTGGACAAGGCTTATTTTTTTAATAATTTAACAGTCTTGTTTTTACTTTCACTTTAAGTCTAACAAATCTTATTAATGTTAGTTCAAAGTGCAACTATATAAATTTTTATTTGAATTAAGTAGTGATATATNGGTAGCTTAAGTTTGGACAAGGCTTATTTTTTTTAATAATTTAACAGTCTTTTTTTTACTTTCACTTTAAGTCTAACAAATCTTATTAATGTTAGTTCAAAGTGCAACTATATAAATTTTTATTTGAATTAAGTAGTGATATATTAAGTAATCAAACTATTATTATCCTTCCCCAAATAAACTGATATAGAAACATTTTGCCTACCAGTTTTTGTTTTTTACCCTGATTGTTGCCATCCTGAGAATGCATATATGACTCGCCAGTCTCGAAGAGGTTAAGGATACGTACCTTCATATAATGAAGGTACCATGTGATATTTCTATCCAATGAAAATGCATCATATGGTTATTTCATTAAAATATCGTAAACGCGTTACAAAGTTTTCATGTAATGATCATTTTGGCATTACATGCTAGGAATCAATTACATTTTAGACATTACATACTAGGATATTGGTACGAAAGCTTAACTTTAAATACACTAATTAATTAAAGTAGACGATATTTCAAATTACGAAATCAGACAGGGAAACTTATTATTATTATTTTTTGAACAAACATACCCTTTTTTTTATGAATTCGGATTGTTCCCTATGGAATATGGTAAATAATAATATGGAAAGTACTTTCCTTGTAGTTTCGGCAGGAGAGCTTTCAAATATGTGAGCGTTTTAAAGTTAATTTCCTTTTTATTCGCCATATATTCAGAAAAAATTAAGAGAATCAAAAAGTGTTTGCAACACGATTATAAACCTCGTTTATTTAAATATGATTTTACGTACAAATTACCTTTTATAATTATTTATTGTCTTTTAATATTGCTTATCATAGTTTATTAATGGTCGAAAAAATTTTGAATCGTAATGTATTAACTATTTTATCCTAATTTCAATCTCGTTATTTTTAATGAAAAAAAATCCAAAATGAAAACGAAGTTAGTTGAACAGTTCAGGGGAATTAAAAAATTAAAAATACGACTCTTATGAAAAGACGAAATACGAAAAAATGAAAGGTAAAATTATTATAAAGGGTCATTTTCTATCTTTTATTTTATAACCGTCTCAACGACGGTTATAAAATCAACTAATTTTTAATCGACGGTCAACTTAATTTTGAGCTTATGACTACCAATGTTCAACTCCGTAACCTTACAATTTTGAACCCAATCCAGAAGACAAGGGAACACTTGGATCAAGTATTGGGAGAAATTTGCATTCCTGGAGGACGTTTTGATGGAACTAACCCGCATTTGCGTTACATAGCGAGGAAAACTATGGAAACCTCCTACGGTTAGCTGGCAGCAAAGGGACTCTAACTCATTAATTCGTCTGCCACTGAAGATACTTTACTTTATCACTGTGGTCGGAGTGAACCGGGTGAGGAATTCGTATTGATCAGCCATCTCTGGGATTTGAACCCCGTTAACCTCATTGTTAGCAGCCGCTCTATCACTTGATAAACCACTTTTCTATCTTTAACTATTGGAGCCATATTTTCCAGATTACGGTTACCTCTCCTATTTTGAGTGGTAACCGCAACCTGCAAAATTTGGTACTGACGATATTCAACAATTCTTCCGACGATATTCAAATTCGACGATAAAAACGATAAAAGGTATATTTATTCAGAGAAAGCACATTTTGGTGCCTTGTTTCGTAACTTAAATTATCGTCAGCTCTGATTACTTCGCATATTTAAATCCCCCAAACCATTAAAATTGATTTTATTGAGTGAAAATTCGTGTCTAAGATCAAAAGTTATTCAAGGTGTTTTTTTTTTTTTTTTTTTTTTTTTTTTTTTTTTTTTTTTTTTTTTTTTTTTTTNTTTTTTTTTGCGTACTGTACGGTGTTGGAGGGGGGGGGGAATAAAGCCTCTTCGCTTGTACTCAGTTTACAGAGAAGGGAATACGCTAAATCTATATAATTTGAGACAATATTACCTGATGAGAAATGTAAAAATTGTAGAAATAGCTAAAATTAGAAACTATTCAGTGCACTTAAACACAATTTTTTTCCTTATAGGAATTTTATCACCGTCCTTATTATAAGGTGAACTCATATACAGCAGCGGTTCCCAATTTTTTTGGCTATGGAACCCTAAATGATCAATATTCTTGTGGCGAAAGCCCGACTTAATGATTAAAGTAAAGACAATTGTGAACATATTAAGCTTCGAAAGACTATGCATGCTTTATTTCAAAAATATTTAATGAGATAAATGAGTTAATAATATAATAGATGAAAATAGGAATATAATAGAATTAATAATAGAAAATATTTATGAGAAAAATCCTTTTATCATTAATAATCTTAAAATAGGTTCTATATCCGAGAGTTGAATTCACAGTCCTGGAGGTGAATTTAAACTCGTAATGACTTTATTTTCGGTGAATTATAATAAGCTGAAAATGAATGAAATAAGCCGAATAATGGTTTTCGTTGAAATGAAAACTAAAAAGAATTACCATAAACGTTGAAAATGACTACTATTTCCTTATTAATAATCCAGTTATTTTATTTTGGTTTGAAAAGCGCGATGAGAAGTATTAATACAATATTTCATAAATAAATGTACTCTTCATAGTTTATTCAGCATATTGTTCTTTTAGAAATTATTTATTTACCTTTTTCTTTAAAAATGTGCTATTTTTCTTCAATCGCATTTTACTTTAATATCGTAAAAGCAACCACAATATTAGGTAAATAATTGATTATGGATTACATCTAAATATAATGACATGCTTAAAAAATGTAAGGAAAAAAACTGTTTAAAAATTCCCGAAACCGAACGGAATTAAACGGGTTCTGATTGTCGGCATCCGTTTAATTCTTCCATGGAACCCTTGGGCTCAGCGGAACACCATTTGGGAACCGCTGATGCAAAGTGTCTGAAAAGTATGAAATTTATTCACGAGTTACTCGAGTTATCGCCATTTTAAACAATTTGTGTTCCGTTTTCATTTTGCGATGATAGCGCTATTTGTTAACCAAAATAGAAAGACTTGTATGTCAAATTAAGTACTTTTTTCTGGAAAATCCAAATCTGAAATATTTAAAATTTTTAAAATTAATTTACATTTTTATTACTTTAAATTAGAAATTAATTTAAATTATAAATTAATTTAAATTAAAAGTTTTAAAACATTTAAAATTTTTCAGTTGTTTTCGCATTACTAGAAAAGTGAGATTGAAGGGTAGAGTTTGGTATCATTAAATACAATTTTTGAAAATATTTTCTATGTGTATTTGTAGAAATTTGACATTTTTATTTTTACAAAGTATACATTTTTTGCTGCCCCTTGTAAAATAAGCACAATAATAATAAACACCCTCTCGGTGCAGTGTAAAAGAAAACAGTTGCAGGTATTATGCCGATCTGATCACGGTACATTAAAGGTTAATATAACTTCTTATACACTGCATTTGAATTTTAACTTTTAAATAAGCACTGCGGCGAGAATGCCTAATTGATGATAAGTATTTTGTTTACTGAAATTCAAACTAGAACTTGCGACGCTGTTCTTCGGACTCTGACATTCTCATTTTAAAATGATTTTTATTGAAATTTAACATACTTTCATGAATAAATTCATTCATTCGAACTAATATATTCTACCCCCAATCTCAAAATTCATAAATTTAATAAACTTTTATGAATGACTATATTTGTTCAAAGTCTCATATTCTACAGAATCAAACTTTTACGAATGACTATATTTGTTCAAAATCTCATATTCCAAAGAATCAATCTCAATAAGCTTAATACAGAAGTTTAGGCAGAAAAGTCTTCTCTTATTTTAAAGGAATCAATAGTATTTCTCCTTAATAGTGCTTTTAACATGGCTTATTTTCTTTATTTAAATTAGTACTTATAGCCAAAATTAATTTAGCTTCATTGGCGGCAAAAATTGTACTTTCCTTTTAAACGAATTAGTTACATTTCTCTATTT